GGTAGAATTATGCGGGTAATACGTCGCTTTTATGATGTTCTTTTGAGAAATTTATGGTTTTATTTAAAAAATTAAAATCACAGAAATTGTTTTTGATCTTTGATTCATCAAAAAATCAACTTTGTTAATTTATCTCACTTAACAATTTTATGGGAGATCAAGAGTCTAAATATCCCTATCACGCGAGGGCTAAAAAACAAGATGGCGTACTTATTATTTAATCCCGGGATTTTGTCCCATATGGCCCAGTTTGATTTCCTCATCAGTACAAATGAATTAACACTTACAGTACTGCAGTGTAGGCCTAGTCCATGCTCTAACAAACAGCTGGACTGGATTAAAATGTATTTTCGACTGTACAGTACAGATTTAAAGACTTGCATGTACATTTCGCCTACGTATTTGTGACGTAGTTTTCCTCGAATTGGTACAGTTTATTATCACGTGATTATCGATTTTATAAAAACAGCGCTATCTATCAATTACTCCGTGCGTCAAAAGCATAAATTGAAATGGCCAGCTGGGGCTGCGAAATCTGTCATCGTGTTAAAATGAAAACAGATTCAAAATTGGATGAGAACTAACAAAGTTATTAAGCTTTCAAGGCAGCTATCATGAATGTTATCATTAACAATTAAACGTCTTACCTTAGAAGTGAAATGTTTGGTAGCGAGGAGATCTTGGTATCAAGTTGATCCTAATTGAAGAACCGGTATGGTCCATTCTTTTGGAAGAAGGGTGGCTGCTTGAGGCACTGTACTACCCACGGGGTGACTTTAAAAGGTAGCTGCTCGGGGCACTGTACTACCTGGAAGTTCAAGTATGAATATCACTTACCGTCGAACAATCAGATAAGGAAGCCGTTCGCCGCGGGCACCCTTGCATTATGGTTTGCCAACCTACCCTATGTATGCATGCGTTGTTTACGGGTTTGTAGGCGTTAACTACGCCCATGCAGACGTGAACTTACGCCAGTGCAGGAATTTATTAATAGGAATTTATTATAGCATATGAAGCCATTTTGTTTGAAAAAGTACAATCAATGAGGTAGCCACAAAAAACATCCTCTAGTAGTATATGTACGGTAGTTGCACTTTCGCTCTATGAACCACTTTCTGTCCTTGTATAACCACACTTGTTAGCGATTGCGTTTTTTCGATCTTGCACTCATGATTTAAGTTCTAAAGTTCACACCGGAATAGCCTGACTACGGTAAAGTCAGATACCGTTGTCACAAATGGCTGACACAGGTTCGTATTCGATTTGATTTTCACGAATTAAAAGTTCAATAGAGCATGAATATTAAAGTCATTTGGCACACGAATCAATAAAAGTATCTTGGTACTCACCGTATAGTTGGTTATCTTCTACCATCTAAATAAAACCTTAAATTTAACCGATCAAGATATGACATGGGACAACGAATACTGTAAAAATGACAACGGTAAAGGTGGGTCAAATGTACTCTAAAATCGAGATGACAACGGCAATATTTGACGATGGTATCTAGAAAGACAACGATAATGTAACGCTAGAAGCATTGACATTTTATGGTATTGTAATAAATCGCCGGGCCCTCTCTCTGAGCAACAAAACGTGGTAGCGTGGCTAGGTCCGGGAATATTATAAAACTAAATTTTGACTTGATCTTGAATTGAGTTAATCAAATTATTCACTTGGTCATTAAGGGGAATTTTGAATAATGTAATACTGGAAAGTGCTGACACCTTTAAATGACAAATTTGACTGAAAAAGTACTAACTGTGAGAGGGGGTGATTGCAATGTATAATGATATAAATGGAATCTCTAACACAACTTGCACCTAAATATTCTCAACAGATCGCAATAATGAGCTTGATATGACCCCTTAAATATATGGGTTTTAAATGAAGATGAAACAGTCTGTTGAAAATAAACTTTAGATCAAATTGACCACTCTACGCAAAGCAACGGACAAAGAAATTAAGATTATATAATTTTAATAATGATATAAATCTGAATATATAGAATATAATGCATAAAATGGTATAATTACAAAGGAATATTTACATAATCAGAGTCACGAAGTTCGATCGAATAAGAAACTGTTAACTCTCAACAGGAACGATCGTATTATTGAACTTACTCTTGATTAAGAATCTCACCAATCTCCCTAACTATCTCATTCCCAACATTTTACTCCACTTTCATGACAAAAGTTCTCTATGTATATGCATTAGAGGTGTGCACTGTTGGTAAATCACTTAATCGATTAACAAAATATTTTAATCGATTAATCATCGATTAATCATTCTAACATAAACGATGGAGATCTGACATAATTTCCCTTCAATTTTCTAATTCTTTAGTAGAAGGCGATAATTCATTCGTTTGATTTGATTGCATACCTCTATTTAATATATACGAGTATATATCAATATAAGATGTATCAGTGAAACACAAAAAAGAGGTAACCATCAGGCTTAGGCTAAGCTTGTTTGGCAGTTTGAGTTTTAAGCTTGGCATGTCATCCTGACAAATTAGGTCTCAATCAGTCAGTGAAATCAAGTAAGCTTACTCACAGCAGGATATTGAAGATTATCTTTTTGAGAATCAGTTAATTGAGTATTAAAAATCTTAATCGATTAAACTTGTGTCGATCAATTAATCGATGATCGATTAAAAATTCACACCTCTAATATGCATGACCTGAACTACTCAACACTACAGTGACCATGAGCACCTTAAAATAACAGAACACTCAAAAAGCAGAAATTCATGAAAATCCATTGATACACACTGATATCTGAGCCAAAGAACAGAAAATATTCCTTAAAGAGCCTGACAGAAATCCACTTGAATATTCAAGTCTTGAAGACTAGAGTTGAAAAGTATAAAAAAATGAGTTTAAAACTGAAACAACCTTATCCCTCGAAATGCATCGAGGTTCCGAGATCTCAAAACCACGAGGTTGAGAACTTAAGGAACTGAGACAATGAGATTTCAGTTATAAACTGGAAACAAAAAGTAACTCATATAATTGAGAAGTTTTAGCCTTGTGGTAACCGACTAAAAAGTGGCTCCCCAGAATCCTTAACAAAAGCCCAAGATTCCTTTAGAATGAAACTTACAACCAATTAAATGTAAATGAAAGAACTAAAATGTTCTAAAATATCTGCATTCGATTGAAATGTAATTAAGAATCCCAAGGGTGCTTAAGTTCAAACACCCAGGAATTCACTATATGTAAATCCCGTGTGGAACCTCGATTACACTCAACCCAAGGCAGATAATAGAGTTTTACAAGCGCAAAACTCTCAATGAAATGATAAAAAATATACTGAAAATGCCAAAATAACTTTGCTAAATAATACAAAGTATCAACAAGAAATTTTGATTTGCAAAGATAAAGTTAAGTAAAGAATTTCTTACGCCATGGTATCTCAGCCTCAAATCTACATTTTAGCAATCCAAGATCTTTCTCTCATGTTTCTCACACGCTCACTATTCCAGCCTCAAAACTGCATTCCGTCCTTAACACTAAAAAATATTACTTACTTCCCAAAATATAACAATCAGCTAGAGCTAACACCTTGGTCAATGCATTGAATACTTATCCTCCTAACTTGACATTGGCTAAGCTTCTTTCTCTACTTTAAAACACTCTTAGGACTGATGGTCCTTGTAAAATCACATTATATACAAAATAACATTTGAAACAAGTAACTAAAAGATAATGCACAAACTCAATATAAAATAAAATGAATGTACAAATAAAAGTACAAAGTAATGATGCCAGGATCATTACAGTATGACTCTATGAAACAATTTATTAAGCGTAAGATTTATGAAGTCTAAAATAATTGTTATGATTATTTTTATTTGTGCTCCGGCAGAGGAACATGTATATGATTACCTCTCTATAATTGTGGGTCTAGGTTCCAGGTTAATTACGTAAATTACGACCGTGTATATACGGGATATACCCAAGAGGTATTGCTTACCTTCATAGATGGTAAACAAAATACAATACAATACAATTAGTCAACAAATGTCAAATAGCATTATTAAAGCATTACTATGTATTTATATGAATCATTAACAGTGTATGGTAAATTATAAAATTTACTATTATTTAATTCCTGTATTTAAAATACAGGATCGAGATCCCCAAATTCTGACCCCTTTGAATGATAGTCAAAATACATTTCCATATACTTACATGTTCAGTTCATTGGAAAAATATGTACATTTTTATTCAATACGATATTTCTTTATTGTTATATTTTTTATAGTTGTCAAACAATGACGTTCACAGTAGCTGCCCAAAAAGCTGAATAACTTTGCTAATTCTGATCCAATTTTAAATCTGTTGTCTCTTGAATGTTGCCTATATCTTCCATCAAATAAATGTCAAAGCTATGCACACATTATTTCATACGGCCTTAGTTTTAATAGATATGTTACTAAACTGGGATATTCTTAACAAAAATAGATTGATGACGTCACAATTTATACAAATTAGCTAATTTACATAATTGAATACTGTAATCGTTCAGGAAATTTCTTAAGGTTTAATTTGATACCCACATCATTTCTATAGACTAAATAATGACAAAGCTACAAGTATTTTAAACGTCCGTTAAGATGTCTGAATATAATTGTCAAATAATGACACTCACAGTAGCTGTCTTGAAAGTTTAATAACTTTAATAATACTGATCCAATTTTGAATCTGTTTTCATTTTTATGTTGCTTAGACCTTCTTATAGACTAAAGGACCAAACTTCTGATATACGGCCTCAGTTCTAATAGATACGTTGCTTTTTGATTGATGATGTCACAATTTATGCAAATTATCCAATTTATCGTGTCAATCAGTTGGTCAATCAGTCTTAAATTAAACTTTGTAAAATGTACCATTCTAGTGATCATTGTAATTGTTGTTATGTCAACACTAGTTATATATTTTGCCTAACCTCGAGTGCTCTTGAAACCTGAATGGTCCAGCTACATAAACATGGTAAGGCGTATTCGAGGTACTTTACTTCTGAATACTTCTTCAATCTTCAACATTCCAGAGACTAATTCTGCTAGTAAAACCTGTAACAAACGAATGCTAAGCATAAAAGCAGATATCGAGGAGCTAAAGGAAAAGACTGATGCAAGTATTATCAGCATTAAACATGATCTGTCAGACTTAAAGGAGGAGATGGTCTCACTAAAGGAGGAGATGGTCTCATGTTTCGATGACATAAAGGAAATTATTGCAGCATTGAAAAGTGAGTTTGCAGTATCAAAAATTGATGAACCAAAGGACAGAGGTAAACCTGTAAACAATCATGCGATAGTCAAACTATACTATATCTAGTAGTGAGTTCCTGTAACTCTAATTTTGGAATGACAGATCAGAGAGATTTTCACAAGCGTTTGATAAAGTCATCATTTACTGCGCTACTCTATCATTATTATCATGATTTTGAGTCTCACACTACACTGTTTTTCTTCAAACATGTTCCATTAAAACCTTCACAGAAATACCTTTCAGTCGAGACATTGCTTTTGTTTACAAAGTCCCTCGTTTTAGCGGCGTTTTGGTCCCCAAATGTGAGAAGTTGCAAATCCTCAGAGATTTCAACCACAAACCTAGATTTATATCCAAAGAACAGGTGTAGGTTTCTATAGATTTATTATACAACCCTCGATTCACTGCATCAACATATTGTAACGTTTTTCCCGGGGCGCGCGGCTCGGGTCAGGAATACGGGGAAAATGCGGGGAAGGTGGACTCTCCCGCGTGTTACTCATTTGAGGGATTATACCACTGCATCAAATGTGGAATTTCTAGTAATTTCTAGACGTGCTTAGCCGGTGTAGAAGTAATGTAGGTCCCCCCCCCAAAATAATGTCCCCCGGATCATTTTCACTAAGGGATTTTGGTCCCTGGACCATTTACCCTAGGGAAATTGGCCCGCCGGACATCTAATACCTAAGAAATATTGTCCTATAGCTAGGGTGAATGGTCCAGATGGGACCATTTTTACTAGGAAAAAAGGTCTCCCAAATGTGTATCAATTATTATTATAATCAACAGATAGAGTAGAATGTGTTAGTCATAATAAGATTTAACATAAACAAGTATAAAAACAATCAATTTAAGGCACAATATCTTTATTTAGTAATTACAAATTATCTTAGGACATTACTAGCATTTTTAAAGCACATAATATACACAATAGATCGCAAGAGATCGAAGTCAAATAATTTGTAGTTCATATCCATAAATTATATTTAACAATACATTTACGTCACGTTATATTTCAGTCGCATTATCTCTATTTCATTAACACGTCTAGCAATAAATACTCTTAATATTCCTCACTAACAGTAGTATTAGTACATACTGCTACTCACAGTGCTAGATTTGAAATCTTTCAAATTTTTCCATTCACTGTCTGTTTAAAGAGTTGGCCAGTCTTGTTTCTCAGTCGATAACCACTCGTACACACGTGTTCTACGACTTCATAAGGGCAAATTCAATGGATTTAGTTTTTGCCTCCCTTGCACTCGTCCCTTCGCATATTTTTCTTCATGCCTAACCATCGACAACGAACAGTGACAAAATATACCGTCGTACACTTTAAATGTACGGTGTTACTATTCTAACTGATATGAAGCAAAAACGATGATGTGGGTGTGGTGTAGGTTTTAAAAATTAATCTAAGGAATCCTTAAGGGGTTTAATCACGAGGTACCATCGACTAATTTTGGCAACGTACCGGAGAACGACATTTTACTAAGAAATGGCAATAATTTAGCACAATATATTTTTTAATATAACCGTAACCGGAGCTGGGAACGTAACCGGAGCAGATCAGTTGAATTATACAATTTAAAAAAATAAAATATATGATTTAAAGCATATATATTAATAAATACGCATTCGAACAATCTCGTATGTTTTTAAATTAGTATATGTGCTTTAAATCATATATTTTTTTTTTGATTAAATAATTCAACTGATCTGCTCCGGTTACTTTCCCAGGTCCGGTTACGTTCCTAAGTAATATTTTTAAAACTTTTTTTTAATTAAACAAATCAGAGTTGTGTGAATCAGAAATAACAGAATTATTCAAAAGTATAAGGACTATTCTGTACTTTTTTCAAAAGTCTATACTTAAATGTTGTGAAAAGTTATAATCGAAAAAACATCTTTCGGAGTAAAGTCCGTCTGCGCCGATTTCAATAACTTCGTACTTGATCAGAACTGGGTTCCAACAGAATTCCTACAAACTCACGAATGAAATAGTTATTGCATGGAATACTTACTTTTGTCAAAATCAAAATAGAACTCTAGTTAAAAAATATATTGTGCTAAATTATTGCCATTTCTTAGTAAAATGTCGTTCTCCGGTACGTTGCCAAAATTATTCGATGGTACCCCGTGTTTATGTTTAATTTCGTGTGTATTCGATTTAGAAGACATTTACCTTTCTCATTCCGTGAAAAGATTTTCGGGCAGTGCTCGAGTTTTTTCGTTGTAAATCTACCCACCAACAATGATCGGTTGGTAAATGTTGATTTTTTCACATTTCCTTTGGTCATTTTTTTTCCCTGTCGCCTAAGAGTGTCGATTATTTTCATGATAATATGTTTTCCAAAGTTACAAAATTAAGGTCGGTTTAAGATTTAATAAATATTCACGTTTTTGCTAGAATTATAAAAATAAGAAAATCATAAGTGTACGCTGTCACCTCGATATACGTTGTCCCATTGAACTTACAAATCTGAATTCACAGATAACCCTCAAGTAGACAACGTATTTTTCATAACACTAATAAGGGGCAAGGAGATCAGATTCATTTAAAACTGAAACGGAACAATCCAGTATTACTAATTCAACTTGATTGAACAATATTGAACCTCTGCTCTTTCCAGATATAGCATAAGCGGGATTTCGAAAGTCATCTTCGATTAGCTAATACATGTCTCTCCATGAACTCCTTAAGATTATTAAAATTCATAAAAGTGCACGATAACGTAATACACCGACGCCGAATGGTCAAAGAGGTTGGAAGATAACACTCCATGGTCAAATATGAATCACCATATCAACACTTTCATAAAATAAAATAGCATTCAACAAGAGGTAAAAATCACTTTTACCTGTTTATCTGTACCAGGGATACACGAACATGTTCGTTGAACATCACTTGTTACTCATGAAATCCTTAATGCGTTTTGAAATTAAATCATTGCATTGTTTACATTTCAATTACCGGGACAACGTACATTGAAGATGACAACGTACATATTTAAATTTTTAAATTATACCAAATACCAAACCTTCAACCGTTACCTCGAAATGTCCAAAATGTTCAAAATGTGCGTTCACCTTAAGCATAGCAAAGGCTCCAGCTCTCCATAATTCGAAACATTAAAGAAGATATTATAAAAAATAACATCTCCCTTATATATAGACAAGAATAAAAAGACACACAAGAATAGAATAAATAATATGTAAGCGCTTTGACGGGGAATCGAACCTAGAACAATTGGAAATGGAATCTTACAAATAATTATATGCAGTACTTACCCAGTGCCTCTATCCATTCAGCCACAGCACGATGCGTAAAGATTTCGATTACCGCTATACATTATAATGTATATACTATATAGTTTTAATATGTAGAGGACAATTAACCCTGCTTCTGATGTGACAGAAATGATTGTCCCCTCAGTGTGAATTGTCCTAGGGACACTATATATAACATAGGACAATGAATACTAGGGATAAGTGTCCTAGTACTGCATTTCAATAATGGTCCCCCTTGGACCTAAATCCTCCTAGGAACCTAGGGATATAGGACACACGGACACACGGTCCTGTAATGATGCAGAATGCCCCGGTATGATTTGACAGAATTAGGAATTTATTATAGCATATGAAGTCATTTATAGAGGTAAAGAATTTTATTTATTAACCGAATATGTTTTTGTTTCAGTAAATGGAGGCCCTGGCACGTGGTCAGCTTGGGGAGCGTGTTCTACAACCTGCGGAGATGGAGAGCAAACTCGCACAAGAGCATGTGACAACCCAGCTCCAGCTCATGGAGGAAGCCAATGCAATTCAAGTGATCTGACGGACACACGGTCTTGTAATGATGCAGAATGCCCCGGTATGATTTGACAGAATTTGGAATATATTATAGCGTATAAAGTCATTTAGAGATAAATATTTTGATTTAAAATGCGATTTTGTTTCAGTTAACGGGGGTCCTGGTTCGTGGTTAGCTTGGGGAGCATATTTCATAACCTGTGGAGATGGAGAGCAACCTCGAACAAGAGCATCTGACATCCCACTGAAATACAGAATTCTATTATTTCTACTGAATGTATTTTGTTTTAGTTGACGGAGTTCCTGGTTCGTGGTCAGCTCAGAGAGCGTGTTCTGTAACCTCCAGAGATGGCTAACTTTTTGACTATAAATCAACCCATTGAAATAGAGAATTCGATTGTCTCAACTGAATATGTTTTTGTTTCAGTTAACGGAGGTCTTGGTACGTGGTCAGTTTAGCGAGCGTGTTCTACAACTCTCCGGATATGGTGGACAAACTCGCAGAAGGGCATTAATCAACCCATTGAAATAGAGAATTCGATTGTCTCAACTGAATATGTTTTTGTTTCAGTTAACGGAGGTCTTGGTACGTGGTCACTTTAGCGAGCGTGTTCTACAACTCTCCGGATATGGTGGACAAACTCGCAGAAGGGCATTAATCAACCCATTGAAATAGAGAATTCGATTGTCTCAACTGAATATGTTTTTGTTTCAGTTAACGGAGGTCTTGGTACGTGGTCACTTTAGCGAGCGTGTTCTACAACTCTCCGGATATGGTGGACAAACTCGCAGAAGGGCATTAATCAACCCATTGAAATAGAGAATTCGATTGTCTCAACTGAATATGTTTTTGTTTCAGTTAACGGAGGTCTTGGTACGTGGTCACTTTAGCGAGCGTGTTCTACAACTCTCCGGATATGGTGGACAAACTCGCAGGGCATTAATCAACCCATTGAAATAGAGAATTCGATTGTCTCAACTGAATATGTTTTTGTTTCAGTTAACGGAGGTCTTGGTACGTGGTCACTTTAGCGAGCGTGTTCTACAACTCTCCGGATATGGTGGACAAACTCGCAGAAGGGCATTAATCAACCCATTGAAATAGAGAATTCGATTGTCTCAACTGAATATGTTTTTGTTTCAGTTAACGGAGGTCTTGGTACGTGGTCACTTTAGCGAGCGTGTTCTACAACTCTCCGGATATGGTGGACAAACTCGCAGAAGGGCATAAATCAACCCATTGGATAGAAAATTATATTAACTGAATAATGATGTAGTCTAATGTTTTAGTTTTAGTTAACGGGGTCCTTTACGAAGTCAGCTTGGAGAGCATGTTCTGCAACCTGTGGAGATGGAGTACAAACTCGCACGAGAACATAAAACAACCCACTGAAATAGACAATTCGATTATTTTAACTGAACATGTTTTTGTTTTACATTTATTTGAATCGTTATTCTCGTGACATGCACTAAAAATGTAAATATTTGAAAAATCGACTTTGCTCTCAATCAAAATCCCTTGTGCTATTTCAGTTAAACCCGGTCCGCCTGGTAGACCTGTCGTATCTGTACTCGACGTTCTTGAATAATTACCCACAATACAATTTTTTTAGAGAACATTTTGATACCTCTTTTTCTTATTGGTCTTTTTGTTTACTTTTACATAAGAATGTACATGTTATATGACCATATTGAAAATTGAATGTATTCGAGATAATACTAAGGCATATTTATATTATAATACTTTCTGCAATAGAAAAAGGGAGGCATGGCACTGCTCAATTGGAGTTCTCATGTTTCTAACACAGAGTTGCATACCCTTTTCTCTCTTTAAAGCCAATGATAACGCATAAATACAATCTTACATATACATAGGGTGTCCCGAAAGTATGGTCCCCCTGTACTTATGTCCATGGCCAACATACCGTGCTGTTCAATGCTCTAGCATGAACAGTTAACTTCGATATGGAATATGTTAACCGTATTGTGAAACAGACTCCATAAAAAGATTACAAATATATGAGCAAGGGTGTATGAGCAAATAATTTGCATTTATGATTATTAAGAACATGGATGATTGAGAATACAACTTTTTGATTTATTTCTAAAACTTCTTCAGGTTCTTCAGTTTACCTGAAGAAGATTTAGAAATAAATCAACGATTTGTATTCTCAATCATTTTTGATATTTTAACACTTATTAACAATATACAAGCGACTCGCCTTTATCACGCAATGAGCTACTTGTGATTCCAGCCTTGGTTCACTTATAAATGCCCTTAATACCGTGTGTCAAAGTAATGATGTGATATACGTAAGAATGTTAAACCAATAAAAAAACGTCGACCTTGTCCGTTTCTAAATGATTTGCCGAATTACAACTTTGACATTTCAATCATTCCATTCCACGATTTTTTGCATTCTCTAGCATTCTTATTTCATACGATGTTAAAATAAATCTGAAATCATTGTACCATATAATTACAACCTGATTTCATCATTCACTTATCATATGTTTCTTAATTTTGTAATTGCAGTAACCGTTGGAAAACTAAAAAGCATCCCAATTGTTGCAAAGAGACAGCTGCAGTCAAGAGATATATATGATCTTGCAGTAACATCAAGTGGACATATTGTGGTAACAGGTAGGAGCAACACAACGATATATGCCAGTGATTATAGTCTCATCAAAGATATCGGCCAAACATTCATTCGTGTTACAGTTACAAGTGATGATCAACTTGTATTCACTGACGGGTCAAGCACAATCTACTTCTATACAGCAGACGGCAATCATATACGCAACATTAACACAGGGTCTTCATATCATCTACGTGGTATTACTACACTATCTACTGGTCAGTTGGTTGTATGCGATGATTACACAGACAACGTGTATATTGTTGAACAAGATACAGGGAATGCAACACCACTCTCTGCTCCCGGTACGTTTAGCGGTCCTGGCTATGTGACAACGAACAGCAAAGGAGTAGTTATAGTGAGTGACTTTTACGGACATTCTATAAAGGGATTGGACCAGGATGGCAATATTCTCTTCAGTTCACACACGGGAATTTCGCGTCATAATTATTCCTCCGCTTGGTGCGCTGTTGTGCATAGCAACGTCCTATGCAACGTGTATAAACATCGCGCGGACGTATAAGTACAACCCGTCAGTTTTTCATGTTTGCAATGAAATTTTCTATTCAGATAGGTGTTTTAAACTATGATTTTCTTTCATAATATATATTGTTAGATAGGCATGATACATATCATCGTGTTTCTAAAGAATTGCTTATTTTAATCCTGTTTATTTCAAGTTGATAGGTTCAATATTAGTAAAGTTACGGCTTCACTATGGAGGGGCAATTTCTTCGTAAACTAAAAACCGCATCGTCAGCAAAGATTTGACGAAAACACAACATTTTTTGCGCCGGTGGCATTTTTTCATTTATTGATGAATCTTTATCAAATTTGAAACATGTATGAGCTAAATATACAAATTGTGTCTTGGCCGAGGCGGAATTTTAAAATTCAAATTACAATTAGAGAAAAAATAGCTAACATGTGTCAAGTTTTACCGCTGATTTTCGAAAAAATATGATGTAATTCCTTATAGAGTTGGAAGAAAACGAATTGTTTAAACTGCACAGGATAAAAATATATTAATCCAGATACATGTAAGCTTTATATACAAATCATTACATACGTTAAAGGGCATCATCAACTACTAGAAAATCGTGTGTAAAATTGGACAATATTTGACCCGAATTGACCGGCAAAATGGCTGCGCGCTCGCAGCGCCTCTAGCGGAGGAATAATTATGACGCGAAATTCCCAGGTGTGTTATGGTACAAAAGGATCAGGGGAGGGGCAGTTGGTATATCCACGTGGTGTCGACACAGACAAGGAGGACTACAGGTATATTGTGCTAGCAGACCAAGACAACCGCAGAGTTCTACTACTCACCCCTGATGGCATGTTCCATAGTTACCTCCTAACAGAGAGTGATGGTTTGTCCAAGCCACGTGCTGTTTGTATAAACCAAGCCGGACAGTTACTGGTTGGGGATGGCAATGGACAATTATTCATTATCACATACAGAGAATAAGGTAATTTTAACACAATTACAATTAACAGATTAATATTGCACGATACATGATACTGCAATATTACACATAATTATTATCAGGCCCGTAGCCAGGGGGGGTTCGCAGGGTTCGGGCGAACCCCCCCCTGGCCAAATATTCTTTCAAAATCATGCAGTTTTTCACCATTTTGAGCACTTTTCAAGTGATTTTAGCCATATTTGGGCCAAAATTGTCAAATGTGAACCCCCCCCTGGAAATTTTTGAAAACTGAACCCCCCCTTGGCAAATCCTGGCTACGGGCCTGATTATAATAACAAAAGTCTATCTATTTCAATTCGATTTTGTTCCCTGTTCTCGTCCTTTACCGTATCTATATACCTCTTACTTCGTATACTTTGAATCTATAAGAGTTGTAACAATACGTGAATGTATAAATAAGTAAATACATATCTCCACGAAACAAAGTTCCATATGTAAATATAAATTATCCTACACTTAGTTTACTCCCGGGGGGTTCACTCTATATACTTTGGGTACCCGGGTAGGTATATGCAGCACAGCTAACTTTGGCTTTGGGGATAATTGGGGACAATTTTCTACAAAAAACGGTATCAAATTTATCAAATCAGTTGCCAAGACCTGGGACAGATCACTGGAAAGTGGATGCTTAGTCAATTTATAATATTTTGGGAAAAATCCCAGCAAAATCCAGAGGAATGGACATATCTATGGTGTTGACAGGAATAAAACGGACTTGATGTATTTTGATGTATTTTAAAATACAAAAATATTAAATTGCATTTTGGCGTTGTGTTTCAGTCCAAACCCGATGACAGAAATGAGAGTTAGAAGATGGCCAACAATTTCAACAACACGAAGCTATCAAAGGCACATATTTACATTATCGTATCCTAGTGCCAACACACTCTGACGATTGAACAATGAATATGTGGAACAGTCATTGATTGTTGTATGAACAACATAGTAACTACACAACTTCACAATAACAATGACTTTACAATACCAATGGCTGTATATTATTGTATGAAATATAAATTTACTGGAAAGCAATGTATTGTACAAAACTATGAGTTTATTGTAAAAATCATATAAGTCATTGAATGATTTGAAGTGCAATACAGGATATATTTCTGCTCGAGAAATTCGGTATTGGTACAAGAGGAAGTCGAGTGCCAATACAAAATATCGATGTGTAGAACTATAAGTGTATTGTATGAGACATAATCATTCTGAAATGCAATTTATTGTACTTATCTATGTGTATATTGTATTAATCATTAACATTATTGTACTACAACAATGTAGAGCTATGAGTGTATTGTATGAAACATAATCATTCTGCAATGCAAATTATTGTACAAAACTATGTGTTTATTGTATTAATCATTAATATTATTGTACTACAACAATGTAGAGCTATACGTATATTGTATAAAACATAATCATTCTGAAATGCAATTTATTGTACAAAACTATGCGTTTATTGTACTGAACAACAATGTAGTGTGCAGAACTATAAGTGTATTGTATGAGACAGAATCATTCTGAAATGCAATGCATAGTACAAAACTATGAATTTATTGTTTTACGTATTAACATTATTGTACTACAACAATGTGATAAGCAGAACTATAAGTGTATTGTATGCAACATAATCATTTTGAAATGCAATGTACAGAACTATGAATTTATTGTATTAATCATTACTATTATTGTACTGAACAACAGTATATTGTCCAGAATTATAAGTCCATTGTATTGAATAGCACAATCATATAGTACACACATGGCATCATTGGGAATAACTTGTTACTTGCAACAAATTGTCCTTTTGAAATAACATGAATTTAGGACCTGTATAATAGCATGCGTTCACAACAAGTCCGACCAACTAATTTAGCATACTGTAAAACTTCATTTTGGTCGCATACATTTTCTCCTAGAGCTTTGTATATCACATATGGCATTGCCTGCCTCATATAGAGCACCAGAACATTGTCAAGTTCTATAGTCCCATTTGTATCTCCTGAAAGCACAAATATATGTTGTAATGAATTTGATGTTTGGCCCATAACAAAAGTTTTCTTTTAATTTTACCATTTTGGGTAGTAACAAGTAAGAACATTTTTGTTATGGATCAAGTAACCTACCCGATGAATTTTGTCATTGTATTTTAATATTATTATGGTGATTATTATTTTGTAAATAGATGTATCTTGATGCACATTCTGGGTTATGCCACACATATAACACACCCATAGTCAGGCAGGTGGAGTGGGTGTGGTTGTGTCTATAAAATTATGTTATTATACATACATCAATATTATGATAACTAGTGCACATACACAACGGTTTTAACCTATATATAAATATATCATTCAATATTTAAATGTATGAATTTACAATACTGAAAATAGTGAAAAAAATGATGCCCTGATAGCAACCACATGAGAATGAATTCTGCCTCGCTATTCAAATTTGTATTTTGCCTCATCTGTATTTGCCTTCTCTCTATTTTGCCTCATCTGTATTTTGCCTCACCTGTATTTTGCCTCAACTGTATTTTGCCTCACCTGCATTTTGCCTCCTCTGTACTTTGTCTCACCTTTGTTTTGCCTCATCTGTATTTTGCCTCTTCTGTATTTTGCCTAACCTGTATTTTGCCTAATCTGTATTTTGCCTCACCTGTATTTTGCCTAACCTGTATTTTGCCTCACCTGCATTTTGCCTCCTCTGTATTTTGCCTCACCTGTATTTTGCCTAACCTGTATTTTGCCTAATCTGTATTTTGCCTCACCTGTATTTTGCCTAACCTGTACTTTGTCTCACCTTTGTTTTGCCTCATCTGTATTTTGCCTCTTCTGTAAATTCCTAACCTATATTTTGCCTAATCTGTATTTTGCCTCACCTGTATTTTGCCTAATCTGTATTTTGCCTCACCTGTATTTTGCCTCCTCTGTACTTTGCCTCACCTGTATTTTGCCTCTTCTGTAAATGCCTAATCTGTATTTTGCCTTCTCTGTATTTTGCCTCCTCTGTATTATGCCTCTTCTGTATTTTGCCTCATCTCTTATTCTGCCTTACCTGTATTTTGCCTCAACTGTATTTTGCCTCACCTGTATTTTGCCTCACCTGTATTTTGCCTCACCTGTATTTTGCCTCACCTGTATTTTGCCTCACCTGTATTTTGCCTCACCTGTATTTTGCCTCACCTGTATTTTGCCTCTTTTGTATTTTGCCTCATCTCTTATTCTGCCTTACCTGTATTTTGCCTCAACTGTATTTTGCCTCACCTGTATTTTGTCTCACCTGCATTTTGCCTCCTCTGTACTTTGTCTCACCTTTGTTTTGCCTCATCTGTATTTTGCCTCTTCTGTATTTTGCCTAACCTGTATTTTGCCTAATCTGTATTTTGCCTCACCTGTATTTTGCCTAACCTGTATTTTGCCTCACCTGCATTTTGCCTCCTCTGTATTTTGCCTCACCTGTATTTTGCCTAACCTGTATTTTGCCTAACCTGTATTTTGCCTAATCTGTATTTTGCCTCACCTGTATTTTGCCTCACCTGTATTTTGCCTAACCTGTACTTTGTCTCACCTTTGTTTTGCCTCATCTGTATTTAGCCTCTTCTGTAAATGCCTAACCTGTATTTTGCCTAATCTGTATTTTGCCTCACCTGTATTTTGCCTAACCTGTATTTTGCCTAATCTGTATTTTGCCTCACCTGTATTTTGCCTCCTCTGTACTTTGCCTCACCTGTATTTTGCCTCTTCTGTAAATGCCTAATCTGTATTTTGCCTTCTCTGTATTTTGCCTCTTCTGTATTTTGCCTCACCTGTATTTTGCCTCTTCTGTATTTTGCCTCACCTGTATTTTTCCTCACCTGTATTTCGCCTCATCTATTTCAATTTGCCTAACCTATTTATTCTAACTAGCTCTGCTAATTTAAATTTGGCTTATTATCAGGACTTTTGGCCAGTTGAATTGAATTTGATTTTTCAAGATTATCGTTATGAATTCATATGGGGCTATTGTATGAGTGGCATAATCAATTGATAATGATTGAAACAATTGTACTTTTTCAAAAATGTATGTAAATAATTGTTTTAACATTATTTAAGGAAAAAAGACCAAGATTTTATGATTTATGGTGTCATATATGACAAAAAATTTATTCTGTTCATTGATAAAAGACTGAAATCGCTTAGCAATTGAGGTCTTTGGGAATGGCCAGAATAAAATTTGAGGTCATCTATTTGACATAAATCATTAAATTAAAATTTTAGCTGTCATACATATTCAAATATAGACCAGAAAATCAATTGTTCTAGCTATTGTGATGTCACGTATCATTTTAGAATATAGATTATAAAATTCAAAATAAAAATGTTTTGTTACAATTCTTACCCCATGCGATACACTGTGACAATACGAATTATAATATTCAAACATTGAAAAAAACAGAAAGAAAAAACTGACAACTAAATTTTGAGGGGGATTGGAATCAAAAACTTTTTGATATATCTATGTCATCATTAGTCATTTTCTAGGACCTTAGGACAGTTTACTTTCCACATATTGTGGTTCTTATGCTATTCAAACATTGAAAAAAAACAGAAAGAAAAAACTTTTTACTCAGATTTTGAGGGGGGGGGTGAACTATGTGTACCTTTATCAGTTAATAATAAGAGAATATTGAATTCTTCGGTTAACATTCTAGCACTAGGAACAGTAGATATAGATGAATTACTATATAGCTGAATGAAGGTAAATAGATATCAGCACTTGTTTATTATTTATTTTGATGGGCCATAGACTGGACTGCCATAGTCTTAGAAAAGTTGAAAACTGATGGAAATTGATTGAAATAACATAACTGTGTAAATCAAAGTTATCATCAGAGAAAACTTTTCACTGAATTCAAATATGTCATTAAAAAGAAGGAAAACAAAGACATTAAAGGTTTCATATGCAAATCTCCTAAAATTACACGAAAATGAGAACAAGTGACATTTCAAAATCCGCATTAATTTTACAAGGGTTTCCCTGAATACAAAATATATGCGCAATGGGGATGGGAGCACATACTTTTGTCAGTAGCAGCAAATCTGGAGTATTTGTTGACATCTAGTTTAGGCGTGCATTCTGGTACTGGGAACAATAGATATATATCTATCTACTGGCACAAGTTTTACAAGAAATGGATATAGAGGGGGGGTTCCCTTGATACAAAATATATGAGCAATAGGGATGGGAGCACATACTTTTGTCAGTAGCAGCAAATCTGGAGTATTTGTTGACATCTAGTTTAGGCGTGCATTCTGGCACTGGGAACAATAGATATATCTATCTACTGGCACAAGTTTTACAAGAAATGGATATAGAGGGGGGTTCCCTTGATACAAAATATATGAGCAATGGGGATAGGAGCACATACTTGTCTCAGTAGCAGCAAATCTGGAGTATTTGTTGACATCCAGTTTAGGCGTGCATTCTGGCACTGGGAACCACAGGTAGCTTTCTGGGCACAGGAGATATGATCCAGCATACTTTCCCTGAAAACACATAAATAACGATTTTGGAATGTAAAAAGTTTTGATATATCAGTGTCATCATCAATCATTGTCTACGACCTTGTTGGGGCAATTTACTTTCCACATATTAACCAAACTCAATGAAAATGACAATTCTAAAACAGACCCATCATTATATCAGCCTGACCCATGACTCTCAATCTGACCCATGATTTTCAACCTTTCCCATGATTCTCAATCTGACCCATGATTCTCAACCTTTCCCATGATTCTCAACCTGACCCATGATTCTCAATCTGACCCATTATTCTCAATCTGACCAATGATTCTCAACCTGACCTATGATTCTCAAGCTGAACCATGATTCTTAATCTGACCCATAATTTTCAATTTGACTAATGAATCTATCTGCCACTTTATATATTTACCACTTTTTACCACTAATTATTCTACACTAGACCAAGGATTCAATCTGACCTATGATTCTCAATCTGACCCATGATTCTCAACCTGACCGATGATTTTTAATCTGATCCATAATTTTCAATTTGACTAATCAATTTGACTAATGAATCTATCTACCACTTTATATATTTACCATTATTTACCACTCATTATTCTTCACTTGACCAAGGATTCAATCTGACCCATGATTCTCAATCTGACCCATGATTCTCAACCTAACCCATGATTCTTAATCTGACCCATAATTTGCAATTTGACTAATGAATCTAATTACCATCCTATCTATTTACCACTCTATTTACCATTCATTTTTCTACACTTGACCAAGGCACGGGTGTTAAGCCACGATGATACCATGAGCACATGCTTTGCGGATCCACGTTGTTTGAACCTACCGCCGAGCTCACTTATACATCAAGACCAGTTACACAGTCATGATACCGCCGAGCAAGCTCAGTGTATCATCGGGTCTGCTTTACCCCCGTGCAAGGAGTCAATCTGACCCATGATTCTCAATCTGACCCATGATTCTCAATCTGACCCATGATTCTAAACCTGACTCATGATTCTCAATCTGACCCATGATTCTCAATCCAACCCATTATTTGCAATTTGAGTTATGAATCTAATTATCAGCCTGACTCATAATTATGAACCTGACCCATGATTCTCAACCTGACCCATGATTCTCAATCTGACCCATGTTTCTCAATCCGACCCGTGATTCTCAACTTGACCCATGATTCTCAATCTGACCCATAATTCCCAATCTGACCCATGATTATTAACCTGACCCGTAATTCTCAATCTGACCCACGATTCTCAAACTGACCCAAGAATTTTAACTTGATCCATGATTCTCAATCTGACCCATTATTCTTAACTTCATCCATGATTCTCAATCTGGCTATGATTCTCAATCTGACCCATTATTCTTAACTTGATCCATGATTCTCAATCTGACCCATGATTCTTAACTTGATTCATGATTCTCAATCTGACCCATGATTCTTAACCTGACTCATGATTCTTAACTTTATCCATGATTCTCAATCTGGCTATGATTCTCAATCTGGCTATTATTCTCAATCTGACCCAAGATTCTTAACTTGATCCGTGATTCTCAATCTGACCCATGATTCTCAAACTGACCCATTATTCTTAACTTGATCCATGATTCTCAATCTGACCCATGATTCTCAATCTGACCCATTATTCTTAACTTGATCCATGATTCTCAATCTGACCCATAATTCTCAATCTGACCCATGATTCTCAATCTGACCCATTATTCTTAACTTGATCCATGATTCTCAATCTGACCCATTATTCTTAACTTGATCCATGATTCTCAATCTGACCCATTATTCTTAACTTGATCCATGATTCTCAATCTGACCCATGATTCTCAATCTGACCCATGATTCTCAATCTGACCCATGATTCTTAACTTGATCCATGATTCTTAACTTGATCCATAATTCTCAATCTGACCCATGATTCTTAATCTGACCCATGATTCTCAATCTGACCCATGATTCTCAATCTGACCCATTATTCTTAACTTGATCCATGATTCTCAATCTGACCCATGATTCTTATATTGATCCATGATTCTCAATCTGACCCATGATTCTCAACCTCAACCATAATTTTCAAGAAGATACATTATGATTCAAAGTAAAATACAACCAGGCCTTTTGTGGAGGCATCATGACTATTAGACATTTAAAAATCATTTGAAGATCCACATTGAGCTGTACATACTACTGATTCGCTACTACATATATCATAGCCCCATGCCTAAGCCATGTTACCACCGACCAAGATCACTGTATCATGGGGTTTGGTTAGTACCTGTGTTGTAATAGCACATTAACATTTACCTTGTAAACCATCTTTGGACAAGAGTGTATGTAAAAGCCCATGTAGTAGTGTTCTATTCCGTATTTTCTCAGCTGACTTGTGAATGCGATCTCCCTGGAAATATATATTGGTACAATTAACTAGATGCGAACCTGTCTAATCTGAACACCACCATGACCGGCCAAAAGTGTTCAGTTTGGCAGGTGTTCACATTTTGAGGTTTCATAATATGGACTTTTATCAAAGAGTTAAACAATACACAGTTGTAACGGCTAGCCTAATTTGGGTAGTGTGGGTGTTTTTAGACTAGGCTTAGGTCACTTTGGGGATACGTTGTACACATTAAATGTACGTGTGAAAATAAAGAGACACAATAATTAATGAAAGCTTAACAATATATATTCTGGCTTCATCCGCCTCAAAATAATACAACACAAATTGATACTAAGTTTCAGTTTCAGAGGTGCGAATTATAAGTCCTTTATGCAATTATATTTGTATATTTATCTATATATAAAAATGTTCACTAATATAGTTTTTCATCAGCTGAGCGATGCATATTCTAAGTCCACCAAGTTGAAGATATAATCTAAGTTCATCAAATGAGTTGGTGAATATTCTAAGTATATCAAACTGAAGATGTATGGAATCTGCTAAGTTCTTCAGATTATCGATGAATATTCTAAGTCCACCAGGATGACGATGTAATCTTAAGTTCATCAAATGAGCCGTAAATATTCTAAGTCTATCCAACTGTAGAAATATTCTAAGTCTATCAAACTGAAGAAGTATGGAATCTGCTAAGTTCTTCAGATAATCGATGAATATTCTAAGTCCACCAATTTGAAGATATAATCTAAGTTCATCAAATGGGCTGTGAATATTCTAAGTCTATCAAACTGATGATGTATGGAATCTGCTAAGTTCTTCAGATTATCGATGAATATTCTAAGTCCACCAAGTTGAAGATATAAACTAAGTTCACCAAATGGGCGGTGAATATTCTAAGTCTATCAAACTGTAGAAATATTCTAAGTCTATCAAACTGAAGAAGTATGGAATCTGCTAAGTTCTTCAGATAATCGATGAATATTCTAAGTCCACCAAGTTGAAGATATAATCTAAGTTCATCAAATGGGCTGTGAATATTCTAAGTCTATCAAACTGATGATGTATGGAATCTGCTAAGTTCTTCAGATTATCAATGAATATTCTAAGTCCACCAAGTTGAAGATATAAACTAAGTTCACCAAATGGGCTGTGAATATTCTAAGTCTATCAAACTGTAGAAATATTCTAAGTCTATCAAACTGAAGAAGTATGGAATCTGCTAAGTTCTTCAGATAATCGATGAATATTCTAAGTCCACCAAGTTGAAGATATAATCTAAGTTCATCAAATGGGCTGTGAATATTCTAAGTCTATCAAACTGATGATGTATGGAATCTGCTAAGTTCTTCAGATTATCGATGAATATTCTAAGTCCACCAAGTTGAAGATATAAACTAAGTTCACCAAATGGGCTGTGAATATTCTAAGTCTATCAAACTGAAGAAATATTCCAAGTCTATCAAACTTCAGGCAACCTTGGTGAATATTGGTTAAGTCCCTCGATATATGCGTGAATATTCCTAAGTTCCTCTGGGCATCAAACTCCAGACAACTTTGGGGGAATATTGGCTAAGTCCCTCAATATATGTGTGAATATTCCTAAGTTCCTCTGGGCATCAAACTCCAGACAACTTTGGGGGAATATTGGCTAAGTCCCTCAATATATGCGTGAATATTCCTAAGTTCCTCTGGGCATCAAACTCCAGGCAACTATGGTGAATATTGGCTAAGTCCCTCAATATATGCGTGAATATTCCTTAAGTTCCTCTGGGCATCAAACTCCAGGCCACTATGGTGAATATTGGCTAAGTCCCCCAACATATGTGAATAATCCTCTAGATTATATCCTCTAAGTGCATCTACCTAAAAATCTGCTAAGTCCATCTACAGGTGTGTTGAATCTGTCTCAAGATCCTCGAAATACCTCTGGGTAAAATCCTCAAAGTCCCTCAACGGGTTTCCCGAATCTGCCTAAGATCCTCTAAGTATACCAGGGTAATATCCTCTAAGTACCGCAGGTTAATTCCTCTTAAGTGCCTCTCAGTATATGTAGAATCTGCCTAAGATCCTCTAGGTACATAAGGGTAAAATCATCTAAGTCCCTCAATATATGTGATGAAAATCTTCTAAGTCCATCAGATATATGCGTAGAATTAGCCTAAGTCCATCAAGCGTCAATCCCTGGAGGCACACAGGTCTGTCCTCTCTCAGTTCCAGCTAGAAAAATGCCTCTCAGTATATGTAGAATCTGCCTAAGATCCTCTAAGTATACCAGGGTAAAATCCTCTAAGTCCCTCAACGGGTATGTCGAATCTGCCTAAGATCCTCTAAGTATACCAGGGTAAAATCCCTCAATATGTGAGATGAAATCTTCTAAGTCCATCAGATATATGCTTAGAATTAGCCTAAGTCCATCAAGCGTCAATCCCTGGAGGCACGCGTGTCTGTCCTCTCTCAGTTCCAGCTAGAAAAGTGCCTCTCAGTATATGTAGAATCTGCCTAAGATCCTCTAAGTATACCAGTGTAAAATCCTCTAAGTCCCTCAACGGGTATGTCGAATCTGCCTAAGATCCTCTAAGTATACCAGGGTAAAATCCTCTAAGTCCCTCAATATGTGAGATGAAATCTTCTAAATCCATCAGATATATGCTTAGAATTAGCCTAAGTCCATCAAGCGTCAATCCCTGGAGGCACGCGGGTCTGTCCTCTCTCAGTTCCAGCTAGAAAAGTGCCTCTCAGTATATGTAGAATCTGCCTAAGATCCTCTAAGTATACCAGGGTAAAATCCTCTAAGTCCCTCAACGGGTATGTCGAATCTGCCTAAGATCCTCTAAGTATACCAGGGTAAAATCCTCTAAGTCCCTCAATATGTGAGATGAAATCTTCTAAGTCCATCAGATATATGCTTAGAATTAGCCTAAGTCCATCAAGCTTCAATCCCTGGAGGCACGCGGGTCTGTCCTCTCTCAGTTCCAGCTAGAAAAGTGCCTGCTGAGTCACCTGGTCGTCTCTATTTATACCCCAGACATGTATGTAACATGTACTAGGTTTTGCACACGAACCTAACAAGTGATTAATGGGCTGATGCAATACCTAGGCCCCTGGACAGGACAAGACTGGTGTACAATTACTATGATGCAATCAGGATATGAATAGTGCAAAATAACTGGCTTCATTTAGAACTCACAATCTGTGCTATCTAATGTAACATATATATATGTTTAGTATATAATTAACTAGATATCATCATTGGTTTTAATCATGCCGAAATTGACCGAAAAAACTAGTAATTGAATGTAGGTCAAGATAGCTCTTCAAAAGTAAGATGAGAAAAATGTAAACAAATGAAAGCAAAATGAAGTCTCACAAAATCGAACAGTTTACATGATTCTGCCTACTCCTTTAGTGTCACATACATTCATGTAAGTATACTACTTGTCAAACAAACTGAAAAACAGTTTCCAAATGTGTTAACTGTAAGCGAACTGATAAAATGGCACAGGACTACAAAGAACAGAAAATTTGAAAAGTAAATATTTGTTACACAGTGATAAATCACACTTTAAATAAAAACGTTAAACAGGACTGCTGGAATTCTGTGCTACAAAATTAAAAATTCTACAAGAAAAAAAATTAAAATTCTGCAAGCCAAAATGTGAAATTCTGCAAAAATTCTGCATTTTATAGCGACATTTCTTCGAGGTACCTTTTGTCGAAATGGGTAAAATTCAAAATAACACTGTCATATTTTTCTAATGTGTGCATGTACAAGGGCCGAGCAATATATTCGCTACTTTTTGCTCTCAAATTGTTAATAATAAAGTATCTTACCTGAAATTTTCCAAAATAATAGAAAAAACATTTTTCTGTAATATCACCAAATGTGCATTTATTTGGTTACATCCGTAATATTTTACATGGCATTGAATATTGGTTGATAGTGACCACCGGAGCTGACATTTGTGACAATGTTTCAGAAAACAACTTTTATACAAAATGTCCTTTTTGTTAATTAAGACAGTTACTCCTCATTCCATGCCTCATTCTCAAAATAGTGTGCACCTGCAGCTATGCATTTTCTACATCGGGAAAGCCAGTCTTGATAGGCCTGTTGCAGTCCGTTTCCATTTGCATATAGGTCTTTTAGGGCCTTATGGACGGCCTCAACCACTTCTTCACGGTCACCAAACCTCTGCCCGCGTAGCTCATTCTTCAGTTTGCCGAAAATTTCAAAGTCGCACAATGCAAGGTCTGGACTGTATGGTGCATGATCAAATTTTTCAATGTTTAGAGCTGCTAATATATCAGTTACCTCACGGGCCCTGTGTGATGGAGCATTATCTTGATGATATTTTTATACAAAGTCTCTGTTCTTTTAGATTTGCATTTACCATGCTTGCTTCTTGATGCAACTCAGGAAGCAGAGTCTCTCTTTTGTGATGCATATGCTGATCAATTGTGACCTCTTTATTGTTTGAAAAGAACATCTATGACATCACAACCGTTGTTCTGAATATTGGATCAATGTCCAGTAAACAATGTTTATAAAAATTACCCAAACTGAATGTTTTTGTTATGAGAAATGGTCATATAAAGATATTGTTGCATGTGCAATTGCAATTGCAGTAAAATTATGGGCAGCTCCGGTGGCTCATTCCTCCCATTGCTATGACAACCATAATTTTTTGCCATATTTGGCAATGGGCTTGAAAATGGAATCAAAAGATGCGGAATTCTACACTCTATGTCTGTACCAAATTTCAATGGAAATAAACAAATATAAAAGAAAATAAAGCAAAAAGTGTTGAACTATTTCCATGTCTTTTAACAATAAAGTTTAGTTTTTAGTTTACTAGTAATAAGTAGGGATGGGACCTGTCAAAATTGCACGATTCGGGTAAGGTCGGGGAAATTCGATTCCAACTCAGTTCCAACTCAGGTTGTCATGTTTTATACAAACACGTTTAGTGGGCGAAAATAATAGCATACATATTCAGGGTAATCATTAGCTAATGATTATGAAACAAATAGGTAACAAATAGTATAGCAATTTGACATGCAAATGAGATAATCATTCAGGGTAATTATTAGCTAATGATTGTGAATTTAATGAATCACTGATTTCTTTCTTCGTTAATCATTCAGTAATCATTCAGTAATTATTCAGAAACAAATAGTTAATTATTCAGAAACAAATCAATAATTATTCAGAAACAAATCGGTAATTATTCAGAAAGAAACCGTTAATTATTCAGAAACAAATCGTTAATTATTCAGTAATTATTCAGGTTATCTGACTCATTTTCTTCTTTATCAAGACCCTGTTGCCTCTCCTGGAGCTGTCTTGTATTATTCTGACTAATACATGCTCATATAGAGGTGACATATACTCCAAATTAATTTATATTTATCTGCTCAGAAACCTAGGGCTAAAATGAGTGTTTGTGCCTAATCATGTATGGGGAACAACCCAAAATTGATCAAATTCAAAAAAAATATCTTGAATTCAAATTCATTAGAATAGTAGAGATAAATATGAATAAGTTTCAATCTAAACATGTTCTACATACCTTTATGATTATGTTGATCAAGTTTCAAGATAGTCTAGCCACCCTTCAGGTTGTTTATGCTCACTTTTATTAGACAAATAATTCTCTCACATCTTAACCAAATTTTAACATCTGCCAATGTGGGGTTTCTCATTCTAAATCATGGACTTTTAGGTAATCATTCAGAAACAAATCGTTAATCACTCAGTAACAATTCGGAATAAAAAATTCCAAGTTAACCATTCAGAAACAAATCTTTAATTATTCAGTAACTATTCAGATCATTAATCATTCAGAAAAAATTCAGTTAATTATTCAGAAACTAATCAGACGTTGCTTTTAAATTCTTCAGGTTTTCTGATTAATTACTGAAGGATTCAATAATCATTAGCTAATGATTATGAAATGATTTTTGTGTGGGAATACACAGTAACATAAAGTTTTCAGAGTTTATTCATTTCCACCGGAAGTCCCAAGCATGTGCGAGTGTGTGCGCATCTCTCACGTTTCATATAGTGTTACGATGAACAAAAGTACATGTACAGGGTGGGCCAAAAAAAGTTCACCCTTTTTCATTTTAATCTCATTTTTTTTATTTTTGATGCAATCCCTTAAAAAATTGATATGTAGATAACTGAGACATTTCTAAACAAGGTCGATATATAACATTAGGTGTGTCTTTGGCTGTTTTGTTTTTAAAGTAAATGTTCAATATGTCCTCCTTGTTCCTGCACAACCAGTTTTAGTCTCTGACGCCATTTATTTATTGCCGCGTTAATTGATTGTTGTGATAATTGTTCCCAACATAAAGTTATTCTTTGTTGGAGTTCTTGAACTGAATGGATGGGAACACTATGAACATGTTTTTCTAGTTAACCCCACACAAAATAATCCATAACATTGAGATCAGGGCTATTTGGGGGCCATAAGTCAGGGGGGATAAAATCAGGTGCATTGGCATGCAAGAACTCCATTGTCGCTTTAGATGTGTGCGAGGGAGCCCCATCTTGTTGGAATATGTAGTTTGGATTGATGCGATTCATATCCTTTAATAAGGACTTTTTTAGCACTCTGTCTATATAGTATGTAGAATTTAATAACTTATTCATTTGTAATTATATCATAAGTGTATTACATAAAACCATCAAATTATTATCAATATTGTGAACGTAAAAATGAGGAAAATTGGATAAAACCATGGATTTTCAGTAACTTGTTGACCAACTCATCTATGGTAGTATCGGGTGTTTATAAGAGTACTTAATTGTTTAAAGAGGTGTTTATCATCAACTCTGACTATTAATTAACACTCTACTTTGTAATATTTTGCATTAACTGACATAAAAATTATATTTACCATGATAACTTCTTTTCAAATTTCCCTCCTTTTTTGAAATCCGCCATTTTGTAAATGAAGTGAATTTCTGGTTTTTTTTTCATGACACACCATAAATATATTTTAGGTGTCATGACAACACTGTTGCATAAATTTCACTCAAATCCTAACAACATGTACAGAAATGTCTGAGCTATATACATATCAATTTTTAGAGGCATTGCATCAAAAATAAGAAAATTTGATTAAAATGAAAAAGGGTGAACTTTTTTTTGGCCCACCCTGTATATTACCAATTATAAATTGTAAGCCCGGGAACATGAATATAGACTCTAACATGACACAGGTCAGGTTGTATAAATGAAGATCATGTTCATTTATAATTTGTATTTATTCAATAATCTTGAGCAAACAAATGTTCGTATTAACAATGCTAGGTAAACTTTCAGATGAATTTATGTTATCAAAGGATGAATTCCGCAAAAATTCCGCAAAAATCAACAGAAATTCAATATTCTGCAAATTTTGCAAAACTATAATAATTCTGAATTTTTTCTGCTGCGGCGCGGAAAAACAGAATTCTCGTAGCACTGGTTAAAAATCGCAACTTAGTTTACCCAGCATGCCCAGAACATGCTCTTGCATCACTAAAAATTTCAATTTAAACGTGCAAACAGATTTCTTGGAATATCATGATAAGATTTATGTGGTACCAAACCTCCAATTTACAGACACAAATGCGAATCGGCACAAAATGACAACAAATGAGAGGCTGAAAACTTTTTCAGAATTCGGTGTTAAGATTAGACAAGTGTTCAGATCTGCAAATTTTTCAGTGCTTACCTCAAAGCAGAATAAGTCCCTATGGAGAGAAACCAGAAGTCTGGATCGTAGTAGAGATATACAGAGGAGGTACAGGACGGTAGGATATCCAACACTCCTACGGCCACTAACGTCCCATCTAACCAATATTGTTGATGAAATGAACCATAGCCTTCTGGGAAGCCACCTGCCTTATGTTCCTCCTGTGTAAAATAATAAATTATTTCTTATAAAAAGTACTGATTTTTGTATGTTTATGGATGGATATCAATACCTTCACAAGTGGGAGCAGCGAGTGATATCCACTCATGGATATAAATGAGATATTTTCAAAACCATGGGGTATTCCTCTAATATACTCCGGAACACCAATATGCGGAGGATATCGTGATGATTTCCCACGGAATTAAACTATTTGACATTAAATTTGATTATATTATACATTTAGTATGCTACTAATAAATGTAGGATAATAAGAACATCCTATGATTCTTTCAGAATATTATTATAATCTACTCGGTGATATTGATATATGCACCCGTTCGCTTCACTAGTAGGTACAAATCATATCCCCAAAAATCATAGTTATTTTCTATGAATAATTTTTTTAAAATTTTTGTACAGTAATCTTGTCAAACTTTTATCTTGTAATATAAAGTGATTATTTGAATAAAAATATTCTGCCAAATAAGATATTACCTTTAACGGTGAATCACATAAAAATTGAGTGAAGCCCTTACGATCGCAATCTCCTTCTTCATCTTTATGTATAATCATCTGATACTTTGTGTAAACTTCAAATGAAACGTCAAAACTCTCTTTGAATGCTTCACTTCTTGGATTGGACCGAATGAGCCTAATCTATGAAAAAAGAACAAAAATAGCATATATACCTCAAGTGGCGAGTCTACCAGAAATCGTGTAAATTGTTTCTTAGAAGGCTTTTCAGGCGGGTCCTTGTGGATCACCATTTGGTATTTTTTGTACACTTGATAGGATTCTTGGAATGTTTCTTCAAATTCATTGCTTCTTGGATTTGATCGGACCAGTTTTATCTAGAAAATATATAAATTGTTGATTGTTTATATCTGACAAGTCTGAATTGTTTCACTGGATTTGAACCTCATCCCCATAGCAACATAAACATAGCAGTCTCATTCCCCACAGTAACATATACAAGTCACGTATATAGCAGTCTAATTTCCATATTATTACATAGCAGTCTCATTACCATAACAACATATACATAACAGTATCACTGGCATAGCAACATATACATAGCAGTCACATCGCCATAGCAACATAAATATACAAATACACGTAGCAGTCTAATCACCAAAGAACATTTACAGAGCAGCCTCAACACCATAGCAGCATATATGTAGCAATCTCACTCATCTCCACAGCAACAATAGCAGTTTCGTCACCATAGTAACATATACATAGGATTCTCAGCTCCATATATTAACATAGACATAGCAGTGCCATCCCCATGGCAACATAAACATAGAAGTCTCATCGCAATAGCAACGTAAACACAGCAGTCTCATCCTCATAGCAACATATATAAACAGAGCAGTTTCATCTCCATAGCAACATAAACATAGATGTCTCATCCCCATAGTAACATATGAACCAAAGCCTATTGGTAGTGAAAGTGACAGATTGTCATGAATCAAAAATGATGTTTATTAAGGACAATAGTAAGATACGTGTATGCTAGCCTTTTAACTAAGCAAGTACAAGGGCATTTATATCAGACAGTACCAATATATTAAATACCTCAAATTTGTGTTGAGGATTGTCACATATTTCTGTCATGAGTTTCTCCAGGTCTTTAGCCTCATTTTGGTTTCTAGCAGACAGGTTTATATGTGTCTCTTTCTGCTGTTCGGTTTTAGCCATCTTTGCAAGTTTTTTCTCCCTCCTCAAGGCTTTAGCTTTCTTACACTTTGGCTTATTAGGATCGGCTCCTACACCTGAGATGAAATAGACATATAGTGTTATTCAAAATTATTTTACCAATAAAGCTCTTTATGGTATCATTAAATGTATTGCCTTTAGTCTACCAATGAAGGTATTGTCTTTCTTGTACCAAGAAGGTATTGTCTTAATTGTACCAATGAATGTATTGGCTTTATTCTACCAATGAAGGTATTGTCTTTATTGTACCATAGAAGGTATTGTCTTTATTGTACAAATGAAGGTATTGTATTTATTGTACCAATGAAAGAATTGTCTTTATTGTACCAATGGACATATCCTCTTTATTGTACCAATGAAGGTATTGTATTTATTGTGCCAATGAAGGTATTGTCTTTATTGTACCAATGGATGCATTATTTTTGTTGTATCAATGGAGATATACAAATCTTGTTAATGGCTAGTTCAGCTGTTTCTTTTAAACTTCAAAGCTATCTTTAAAGAAATTAAGTCAAATGAATGGGAAGGGTTATGTGGGACTTCACTACATCACATAGTACCTGGTTTGCAAACTTTCTTGGTTGACCCGCTATCAACATCATCTAGTCCCTGTGACATAGGCTCGGCACCATCTTCACCCACAACATTTGCACCCTTATCCTTCACATTCTCATCTCTATCACCGTCCATTGTTTCCTCAAGCCTTTCACCTGGAGCATCTAAGGAGGACAGAGTCTTCCCAGCATTCTTTGGGTCATCCGACTTTAGAGACAGATCACCTGAGGAGGCCTGGGGAAGCTGGATCTGTACCTCTTCTTTTCCTGTTGCTAGATCAGGAAAATCAAAATCAAAATAGTTTAGGTTTTAATATGACCTAGTATTTTAAAAAAAAACAGATTCAAAATCAGGAAAGGCTCAATATTCCAAAAATTAAAAAATACTTCATGATTTGACCATTTCCATTTTTATTGAATTCGAAACTTATTGCAATATATAAACATTGCAGTACTAATTCTTGAACTGTGATCTACTTTGGAGTAGATTATTTCTTCAATTCAACTCAGTATTACTATCACATCAAGTCTCTGGAACCCCTCCCTTACTTTTGATACATCCTATGGTGTGAGGAGGGGGGGGTCAAAGGTTTGAAGCATGATGGTATCATGGTAGTGGAATGTGGAAATTCCAAAATGTATTAAAAAAGAGCAAGAAAAATAAAAATTTACCAATATTTGTAGTAATTGTGGTTTGAATTACCTTTTGTACTATTTTCATCACTCCCTCTCTCAGTAATCCTTTCTCCTCTTCTCTGACCAGTGTTAAGGTAGCTGTTGAAACGTTTTATGGTTTTTTTCTGCGATTTAGTAGCACTGAACTCTAAAGTTTTGCATCTTATGGTATAGTGAGGACAACATGTTATGTCCATTGTAGGTTTATAGCAGTATTTACCACTCCTAAATTAAATAGAAGTATTTCATGAATGGGGACACCTTAATTTAGTGGGGACAAACTCTAAAGTTTTGCATCTTAAGGTAAAGTGAGGACAACATGTGACGTCCACTGTAGACTTATGGCAGTATTTACAATGCCTTATGATTATGTGATTATGTAATTATCAACAATGATTTTACATTGATTTTTATTCTTCCTTATATGTTAACTCATTATATTTATATCTTTAGTATCAGTTAGGTGTCCCCATTGCTCCTGCTCCCAATAAGTTGCTCATACTCTCTTTCTGATAAATAAAGGTACTATTTTATATTCATACATTTTTAATTGTAAACTCAGTATATACACATCAACTGCCCTAGAAGGGAGGGACGGAAGGGGGGGGGGGGGGGGCTATGATATATTACCTTCTCCATCCCCTGTCTATAAGGTCTTGGTAGTCTTGGACTGTCATACTGTGAGCCCACATACCTGAAAATACATGTGAAGGTACATGCATATGCATGTTATGACAACAGACAAAATTAATAATAAAGACCCCTGTGCCCTTGACTGTTATAATTTACATGTATCAGATCACTTGTCATTTGGAACATTTTATTGTTTCGCCCATGAGCTTTCAAGAAAGCCCGTGTTTCAACATAGGCTGGAGGCGATAGAAATAATTTTTAAATAAAGAGGGCACTATTCAGCAAATCGAACTGTGTTTATTAAGAATGAAATCAGAGGGGGAATAACCCCAGAGTTCGAAGATGACATACGCTTATCATGTATATGTAAACCTGTATTGAGATGACATACATCTCTGATTGGTCAAAATTTGACAAACAAATGACGTCATCAATGGCCATTTCAAAATTTTTGAAATACACTTCGAATACCCTGCGTGCAGAGTCTAGTTATAAGCTACAAATTTCAAATCCACCATGCTGACCCTTTCTCATCCAGTCAGCGAAGTGAAAGGAACATGTGCTAAATAACAATGCGGGGATGTCAGAGAAAATGAGCATATAGAAAGTTGTCCGTAGTTCCACGACAAACTCTGATTGGCTCGGTGAGATCAGAGATTTATTGTATACTGAAAGAGTGAAGACAAAGCTCTCTTTTAAGAAGTGAAGTCAAACGAATGCAAAGCGTACACTTCGAATAATATTATGTTCTTTTCTGGCGTGTTAACCAATATCATAGCTTCTTCAGACCTGTCAACTTGGGAACATCTAACATGAGTGACTTGGAAATGTTGAACACCTCCCCTCAAAATGTGGACACCCTGGTCCAAATCTGAACACCTAGATCCAAATTTTGAACACCTTGGTTTAAATTTTATTACATCTTGCGAAAAATTTCGACCGGAATGCGTGACATATACGTAATTCGCGTGAAAAGTCCGAACGAAATGCGTACGTTTTTTTTCCGGCGTTCGTATTTTTGCTGTGTAGACGATCTTTTTTAGAAATTTTTCTACAGAAATATTTTTGCTTGACAATTACCAGGTAAAATGCGTATTTGCGTGACACCAAGATAAGGAAAGGTGTATGGAATATGCCTACATTCAAATAAAAAATCACATCAAAGTGTAGTACTTGTACTTGTAGGTGGTAAGCGAGAGAAGTAATTATGTCTGTCATCTCTACAACTCTGAAGATTTCTCTTCTTTTGAATGGAATATTAATAGAATTACCATCTCTACATTATAACTCCCTCACTTCAGCAAGTTATTTGGTGAATTTCAGGTTGTTTCACGTCCTGAAATTCCTCACTTGATTATTTGAGCTCGTGGATTATATTCATTCCTGCTTCCCGTGCTACTATTAACATACAGGTAAAATATATGGATACAAATCTACAATGTACCTCCATTGTGGTGAAAATGATGAAAATAAAAATTTCCTCCAATGGAAGTTCATACATTGTGTAATAAAAAAGTAAGTTACGTTTTTATAACGAGGCGGGGACCAGTGTACATGTAGGCGCATTCATGCGCCTCTGGGGCTTTATTTATATATCTGAGATTTGTCACAACCCCGATAGTCATAGTCATCTGGAATGGGGCAGCCCGGCTAGGACCATGTGATAAAACTGCACAAATCTCTTAAGGACAAAGCATTCGTACCTGCACATTATACTCTACATCTAACCAAACCCGTCTGGCCCAGTTATCTACTCCTGACGTCGTAGATCTGGGCCAGACAATGTCCAATGCAAAAAAGGGGTATTTACTCAGGAAAAAACATGTCGCTGAATCATCACTAATTATTCATTCCCTATTAGCCATCCAACCAAAACATCGGGCACCATGTAAACCCAAGTATTTATTTGAAATAAAGAGTACATAACTTACACGTAAATGTGGAGTTTTGTTTGTCATATTGATGTTGAAATGGGCCCAACATTTCGTCAATATTTCGTCAGTTCTCCGCACCGAATAAAGTCACGTGATGTGACGAAACACAAGTGTGACGCGATAATTTTTTAACTTTCATGGAACGAAAATACACCCGCTATGGCTCAGAGGCAGAGTCAAGGTTACCAATATCGCTTGGCCCCGGGTTCGATTCCCGGTTCAGACAAGTTTGTTTGTGCGTTACGTAATTCTGGGTGTTTGACTGAGTTGTTCACGACTCGTATAAAAGGCTGTCGTGTGTACCTGTATGTCTGTGTACCTGTGCACATAAAAGAACACAGGGCTCCTCCAAGGAGGGGTTTCTGGCTCTGTCTTCGAGTGTAAAATACGTAAAATACGGAATATACCAATGAGGTATTGCTCGCCAAATATGGCGGTAACCAAGATATAATAATAATAATAACACAAGTGTGACGCGATAATTTTTTAACTTTCATGGAACGAAAATACATTTCCCGGGAATCAATACATTCCATATATTACGATTTGTTCAACAGATTTGTTATCAAAACGTAGGGAACTTTATAAAACAGACGTATCTATGTTGTATTTAGACTGGTAAGAAATATGGTGGACATTAAATACGATTTTTCAATTTGTTGAACTGACCGAATGTAGTACTGAACGAAATATGAAGCCGAGACTTCTCGATATTCTACGAGATCACGAACAGATTGCAGAAGAATTTTTTTTTTGCTGCGTTTAATCGTTTCATTCTTATTTATTAGCCGTCATCCAGCTATGGAAACCTAATATAAATACAAAGTTTGATACAAGGAACAAACACGTAAGGGGTTGCGCTAAATACCACCTAGGTGCCCCACACCTAGGTGTCCCCATTGAAATGCCTTACTGGCATATTTTACTATTTATTTCAAGCTATCATTTTTCCAAGTGTTAATATATTACATGATAAAGTATTTTCATGAAACTTGTGTAAATGTTTCTGTTTGTTTATGATATTTTTAATTGTCTTGAAAATTTGATCGATGTCGAAAAGTCATTTGTTAGGATAATATTTCATTATTTGCTCACTACAAAATGCTACAAATTCACTATTTTAGCAACTAAAGCAAGAAAAAATATATGTTTCAAAGATCAATGCACACTTATGCATAAACGGTGTTTTATTACTACAAATAAGTGACCATACATATGAGCAAAATTCCAGGTGCCCATTTTCTAACAATAAAGCTTTCTATATTTTATTTTCGAATCTTCTTTAGAATATTTTTGACTACAAATGATTATTCCAAGTCTATTATATGTCAAGTTAATATGACAAAGGAAATAATACTTAATTTACGTGGTTTAATATGGAATTATAAATCCAGGTGCCCAAGGGGACACCTAGGTCCACGTAAGTGACTTTTTTTATGTTTATTCATTTATCAGCACGTATTATACATTGAAAAACCTGTGTGTTTTTTCCGGAGTAAATCCCCCTTTTTTGCATTGGACATTGTCTGGCCCAGATCTACGAGGTCGGGAGTAGATAACTGGGCCAGACGGGTTTGGTTAACTCTAGCCTACACGTACTGTTATAATTTCAACATTTGGGGTTACCAACAGAAGTAACCAACAGCATCAACAAGTTTTACTGTTGATTTCTTGCTTAATAAGAAAGGGAGATATTGAACTAAATTAAATCTACATTCAGGAATAGGATAGGTGGGAATTGGCTGTGATAAACCTAAAAAGATAAAAACCATGATAATTTTTTTTACTTTTTGTTTTGGGGAAGTAAATGATTAGACCATAGCCCTATTTTCTACTCATTTGTTTCAAACAAAACTTATTACAAGTAATCCATATTACCATGTGAATAGTTGGTATCCGTTTTGCCACAGTATCCGCATCTGTAACCCTCATGTCCAGCAAAATATTCGACGATAGAACGATTTGACATTTTTGCAAATTGGAACTTATTTGCATCTGACGTGTCATGGATGTTTACTTATTTTTCTAACCAATCAGATTGCGAGATATATTCACAAAAATGGCAGCTACAAAAATTTTCACATTTTTTACTCGAGGTCTACAAAATGCATTATTGCGGGAAAATGCAGCAATATCAAGTGTTTCTATTCATCCAAAACGAAACTCCTCATCATTTACATATGTTCCAGAGGAAGCACCCGAAGATGCAGGTGAGCATGACTTTGTTTACAGATCTTCGAAGACTGATTTTCTCCCGGGGATTTTTTGCATTTGGCACAAGAATCAGGATCGCAGGGAAGGGGTCTAAGTACATCATTTGATAGATAATTGGTAAAGCAATACAAAAATATACATGCCGATGCGATCAGAGCCATACAAGTCGAGAGTTTTAGAAGGAATTTTTCTGAAAAATTCGTAAAAAAAACATGATTTGCCTGCCCCAAAAAATTTCGTTATCTTGAAGTTTTACGATATTTACTTAGATCTACCTATTTTTTATAAAACTTGTTGATCGATAGTTGCTTTATAATATCCTGTGCTGTTATATTTCAACACTGTATATGTCACCATTTGTGTTGCGTGTACGTTTCCCATGAGTTGATAAATATGTTGTCAATTTGTTTCCTAGCTTTATACTGTTACATAGTATGATTACAGGCCTGGAAATATGACAAAATATCCCATTTACGTATAATTGAAATGTAATTTTAAATGTACTCTGTATTTAACATGTATTTACTTGGTCTTAAAAAGTTTATCAAAACTAACAAGCCATTGCGCGCCTTGTTACGAGCCTTGTAAGGTCAAGTACGTGGGTCGAAAGTTACGGGTTCTTAGAGGCATCGATATGACAGGTCACTACAGACTACAGACCTCGGAAATAGCGAGCTATTACGAGTTCTAACGGGCCTTGTATTCCAAGCCAGTATGATGTTCAGAATTTACTAGCAATTAGGGGACTCACTACGAGACCCATACAAGGTTGTACAGAGGCCATTGAGGCAACAGGGCTCGTACAACCTAGTACGGGCCCTGACGTAATTTGCCTGTGTAGTCACATAATCAAAGTCACATAATAACATAGTCACATATTGACCTAGTCACATAATCACATAGTCATCTCGTCACATAATCACATCGTCATCTAGTCACATAATCATATAGTCGCATAGTCACATAATCAGATAATCATCTAGTCACATAATCACATAGTCACATACACTGTAATCACATGATCACATAGTCACATAGTCACGTAATCACATGATCACATAGTCACATAGTAACATAGTCACATAATCACATAGTCACATAAGCACATAATCACATGATCACATAGTCACATATGTCTATCGTTTCAGGTGAAACAGCCAGGATGAATCTATTTCAATCTCTCACAAGTGCAATGGACATAGCCCTTGAAAAAGACCCTTCTGCTGTTATATTTGGTGAAGATGTCGCCTTTGGTGGAGTATTCAGATGCACAGTCGGTCTTAAAGATAAATACGGTTGGTATATTGTTTATATCATTTGCATTTAATTTTGAATCCAACCTGCATAAAGAGTTAAAAGATGATAGTATGCACAGTTGAGTCTATTATAGCCTAAGCTCCCGTCATCAGATGTGAAGATTTTAGATTAGTTTCGAGGCAAATGTATCACAAGTACCATTCTCATATTTTTATTTTTTATTTATCATTGCTCTTCAAACATAGGTACATTTTACAGGATAGTTTTGTCATTATTCACACCACCATCGTTCAATCATTTTCATAATGAAAATATATGTTTTATTTAAAATATATGTTTTATTTATGTCTCTCACACCTCCTCTCCAAGGTTTAGGGACCATAATCACAATAAAATAAAAATGAAACATGATCAAGTAATTAAATTGGCTTAGTAGCAGAGTCAAGATAACCACTCTCGCTTGGCTCTGGGTTCGATTCCTGGTACAGACAAGTTTGTTAATGCGTTATGTAATTCTGGGTGTTTGACTGAGTGGTCCATGACTCATATAAAAAAACTGTGGTGTGTGCTTGTATGTCTTTGTAACGGTGCACACATAAGAACACAGGGATCCTCCAAGGAGGGGTTTCTGGCTCTTTTTTCGAGTGTAAAATACAGAATATACCAATGAGGTATTGCTCGCCAATTATGGCGGTAACAAAGATACAATAAAATGCAATTACAAAATATGTTAGAGAATCACTTTTTGTTTTCTCCAGGAAAAGATCGGGTTTTTAACACTCCGCTAAGTGAGCAGGGAATCGTGGGATTTGGTATAGGTGTCGCTGCTGCAGGTGCAACCGCCATAGCTGAAATTCAATTCGCTGATTATATTTATCCCGCATTCGATCAGGTAATAATTTTGATATTTGTTAATGAAAACACAGAACGAAATTCTGTGCTAAGGGCTGATGTGAAAAAGTCAGTCCACCCCAGTGGGGATCGAACCCACAACCCTTGCTTACAAGCCGATTGCTCTACCACTGAGCTATAGGACCGACTGGCTCCTTATTTAAATCTCAGAGTTGTAGATGCAAAAGTTTACCACTAAATGTATTTGCTTCATGGGAGACTGGATAAACAGAAGAAAATTGAAGAACAATAGTTGTTCGAAAGTCATAGCTATGCTGCAATCTGCAACTTTTTCAATGATTGGTGTTAAACATTCAGGGTTTGCACCAAATTCTAACAACTTCCATTAGGAAAAATGTCTATGATTGTATTGAAAATGTATACTAGTGATGCTATCATAACAAGTCTATGGGAGATCACTTTATAAATCATGTCGTATAATGGCTCCAGTAGATTATCCTTTAAAAAAAAAACTCCTAGTTTAGATTCTCCGGATATATTTTTGACATTTACATATTTGGTGTCTGACATCTGTAACAAATGGCAGGTTGTGTAGGCTATTAGCTGTTTTTTGCAAAATCATGCAGTTTTTCACCATTCTGACCATTTTTGTGTGATTTTTGGCGCAAATTTGCCAAAGTGAACCCCCTAAAATATTTTTGAAAAGTGAAGCCCCCTTTGGAAATTCTGTCAAAATGACTGTGACATTTTGCATGTTAATGCCTTGTAATAGTTTAATTTCTATTTTATGTTTTCAGATAGTAAATGAAGCGTCAAAGTTTCGCTACAGGTCAGGGAATTTATTCAATGCAGGAAGATTAACGATACGAGCGCCATGCGGGGCAGTAGGTCATGGCGCCCTCTATCATTCACAGAGTCCAGAAGCTTATTTCGCACATACTCCCGGTATTAAGGTATGTACACTGTACATGAATATCATAATCACTAACATGTTTTTTAATTTTAATCACTTGAATACTGGGAAACTTGTTGCAGATTTTTCTGTAAAATCACTGTTTGTTTGGCAAAATGTATCTGATTTTAACAATTAGATCATGTTTTGCCTCCTCCATTCTTAGGCACGTATGAAGACAAATATTGAAATATAGAACAATTTTAGTAAAAATATAAATGTGAATAATCAAGAATACATGTTGACATTATTGTCAAGCTTTTGGGTTTAGGGCCTAGGGAGCATTTCAAATGATCAATGACTGAAAATTAGCTGTATTTGAACAGTTTATCTGTAACCCCCTCCCTCCCCCCTTCATAAATGTGTTTGAAAAATGTTAATGTGTGTCATTGCGTTAAAGTCACTCTATAACTTTGTAATACAGTAAATTTTTTACAATTACTCCAATCTGTATTATTGTACAGTATCAGCATGAGATTATCTCTTGTATTGTATCTCATTGTAGAATCCTGACTTTTATATCCAACAAAATTTGCTCAAATAAAATTCCAGGAACGATGTTGGAAAGCTAACTTTTAAGGCTAAAAACATCCTCCCCCATAACTGGTTAAATACAGTTAATTTACTGTCAAATAAAATTCCAGGAACGATGTCGGAAAGCTAACTTTTAATGCTGAAAACATCCTCCCCAATAACTGTTAAAATTCAGTTAAGTTTCCATCATCAAACTTTTGTTATGCTCCCTTAATAGCTCAAGGGACATTCAATTTTATCTCGTCTTTCTGTTAACCTATAGTACCAGAGTTCTCTAAAATAGTAATGTTATTTGTGTTTTTCCAGGTGGTCATACCAAGGGGTCCTATTCAAGCAAAGGGGCTCCTTCTCAGCTGTATAAGAGATGATAACCCATGTATATACTTTGAACCTAAAATCCTATACAGATCTGCAGTAGAACAAGTCCCAACAGGCGACTACATGTTACCTTTATCAAAAGCAGAAGTGTTGGTGGAAGGTACATTAGTTTAGATTAATAAATAAGCCAAAAGTTCTTCTGAAATCCAAAAAACGGCTGTACAAGCAGGTGCCAACTGGTCTCATAATTGTTATCTCTAGCCACATTTGAATCGTAATTTTCTCCAAAGTATCCGTAATTAAGAATTCAAACTTTTTTTCAATTGGGATATGAAATGAAATATCTTGCGGAAACGTTACCTTGTTGGTTCTGTAAATCACTGAATATTTTCAGAAAAAAATAATAAGTATATGCACCATAAATAGATGGCAGCATTGCAGTATATGTAATTGAAATGAACACTTAGATTGCAGAGGAGGAATGATCGTTCCCACAATTTTTTACAGCTAGCTGAAATAATTAGGCTCTTTTGATTGGTCAGAGTGGCAGTGTTTGCTTTTTTAGACAAAATTCAGAAGTTTAAGTTATATAAAAGCCAAATCAAGCTCTTGTTGATCCAAATATAGAATAAGGTGCTTGAATTTCCTGATATTAACTTCTTAATCCGAAGTCTATTTTTCAGGTTCCGATCTGACACTTGTCGGTTGGGGTACGCAAGTCCATGTGCTTAGGGAAGTGGGAAAAATGGCTGAAGAGAAGTTGAATATATCTTGTGAAGTAATAGATCTTGTTACGATCCTGCCCTGGGATTCAGATACCATCAATGAGGTAACTCTTTGTAAGATGTTAAAAGGGCTTGAGAGACTACCCTTTGTAAGACCCTGTAAGACATTGCCTCACTCTCAAGTAGGCATAGAGATTAGAGACAGATAACAAAGAGAGATGAGTGTGAAGGCATTGAATGTATCTGACAAAAACAAAATAGTTCAAATATCATTTATTTTTTTCTACATCTCAGTTTTTGTATACATTTTTATATTTGATCAGATAACCTATTTTTCAGAAAATAGAATCAAAATTCTGAAACATTGGAGTCATTTTGGAACAATTTTTAAATTTTTTTTTAACTCAACTAACCAATCAGATAACCTCTGGAGGTTCATCTTTGTAGAGAAATAGGGTTCTCTATGAATTCTGGGAAATTTCTTTCTCTGTAATGAGAATTTTTGAAAGTTGGTATTATTGCTACATGATGTATCTTTATTTTTCAGTCCGTCTCAAAAACTGGTCGACTTTTAATCGCTCACGAAGCTCCATTGACGGGAGGATTTGCTGCGGAAATTGCTGCATCTGTACAGGTGGGCTTTTTGGCTTTGATAAGTCTTAGTTTCAATGCTATTATTAATATCAATCAATATAAAGAAATATATCATGCTATTTATCACCCATGGACATTTTAGGTCAAGATATGAGGGATATCTACTGCATATAAGCATATCTACTGTACATCTGTTATAGGATATCCTTTGATTTCGAGGAATATCATTTTTTTTATCTACGAAGTGATATTGATGCACGAGAGAGCAAAGCGAACAAGTCCTTGCAACCAATTAAAAACCTGTTTGCACCCAATTAAAAATCTGTTTGCACTGACATAAATAAGAAAATTTTATTAATATTTGTATATTTTGACCAATTTTGATCAGAATTGTAAAAAATCTCTGATCTATACCCAATTGTTTGAAACAAATATTTTGAGTTGTTGTTTCCTCATTACAAATATTTATCTTATAATTATTGGTTTCTGTTTATGAAGATAAACAATGCTTTTTATCACACCATCGGTGGGATATAGTCGTCATACTGGTCGTGGTCGTGATCGTGGTCGTGATCGTCCCGCTTTTTGTCATCGCAGTTTAAGGAAAACTGCTCATCAGATTTTCTCCAAATTCACAGAGATGATAGAGCATATGAAGTACAAGAGCTGATTAACTTTTGGGTGGCCATCTTGTTTTCTGGTGGCCATTTTGAAGGTTTTTCGAAAAATCTTGTCATAGCCATTTCAGGAAAACAGCTCATTGGATTTCCTTCAAATTTACACAAATGATAGAGGATATCAAGTACAAGTGCTGATTAACTTTTGGGCGGCCATCTTGTTTTCTGGTGGCCATTTTGAAGGTTTTTTGAAAAATCTTGTCATCGCCGTTTCAGGAAAACCGCTCATCGGATTTCCTTCAAATTTACACACATGAAAGAGGATATCAAGTACTAGAGCTGATTAACTTTGTGGCAGCCATCTTCTTTTCTGGTGGCCATTTGAAGTTTTCTCGAAAAAATCTTGTCATTGCCAATTTAGGAAAACCGCTCATCGGATTTCCTTCAAATTCGCACAGATGATAGAGGATATCAAGTACTAGCGTTGATTAACTTTGGGCGGCTATCTTGTTTTCTGGTGGCCATTTTTAAGGTTTTTCGAAAAATCTTGTCATTGCCATTTCAGGAAAACTGCTCATCGGATTTCCTGTACATGATAGGGGATATCAAGTTCTAGAACTTATTAAATTTTGGGTGGCCATTTTGTTTTCTGGCGGCCATTTTGAAGGTTTTTCAATAAATCGCCATTTCAAGAAAACCCCTCATCAGATTTGCTCCAAATTCCCACACATGATAGAGGATATCAAGAACTAGAGCTGATTAACTTTTGGGTGGCCATCTTGTTTTCTGGTGGCCACTTTGAAGGTTTTTTTTGATAAATCTTGTCATCACCATTTTAGAAAAAAACGCTTATTGGATTTCCTTCAAATTCGCACACATGATAGGGGCTATCAAGTTCTACACCTATTTGATGGTGTGATCTCGTTCACGTCCTGTGCCTTGTTTTAAAAAGTATGGTTTTTCGTCAATATGTATAACACAATTTTTATACAATACAATTATTTATCAGTAACTGTCTAGTATAAGAGACAAATCATTCTGTGAACAGAATTGATAGCATTCCATTTGGTCATACATGCTATAGATATAAAAAAATTGCTTATCAAGTAGGCGCTGAAAGCTTTTAAACCAAATAGGAAATGAAAGTGTATTCATTTTTAAAGATTCTAATTTCTACTGGGGTCAACATGACTTTTAGTCTAGACACATTAAGAAGTAATTTCTCCTTGACAATACGAACCAATTGTTATATTTTGAACAATGTTAGTAATTAGAGATATGTCTCTGTAATATTGATTTTGTTAAAGATGAAGTAGGCCAACGAGACACATTTTTGGGATATGTGCAGCTGATTTTCTTAGCTACTTTTGTGTGTTAACTCAAAGGACGATAGCAGTGAAAATATGTTTTATTTTTCTGAATTTTTTTCATTTTTTGGTAGTGAGTGAAAGATCATATGGAGATTACAGCTGCGGTCAATGCTGTGGTCAAATTGACCCCAAGGTTTTAAGTTCAGCCAGTCTATTAAGTGAATTTGCCTGTGATGACTGAAGCTTAGGTCAAACACTGGCCTGGCCTGGTCTATGTTTTGTTTGGCTATTTATTTCATAGAATGCAGCGGATGTTATTTGTTTTAACATTGTTATGAATTTTTATTTTCAGAATGAATGTTTCCTAAACCTTGAAGCCCCCATACAATATGTATGTGGATACGACACTCCCTTCCCCCATATTTATGATACATTCTACATGTTCAACATTGTTATACATCTTCATTTTCAGAATGAATGTTTCCTTAACCAAGAAGCCCCAATACAACGTGTATGCGGATACGACACTCCCTTCCCCCATATTTATGAGCCATTTTACAAGTTCAACATTGTTATTCATCTTCATTTTCAGAATGAATGTTTCCTTAACCTTGAAGCCCCCATACAACGTGTATGTGGATACGACACTCCCTTCCCCCATATTTATGAGCCATTCTACATGTTCAACATTGTTATACATCTTCATTTTCAGAATGAATGTTTCCTAAACCTTGAAGCCCCCATACAACGTGTATGCGGATACGACACTCCCTTCCCCCATATTTATGATCCATTCTACAAGTTCAACATTGTTATACACCTTCATTTTCAGAATGAATGTTTCCTAAACCTTGAAGCCCCAATACAATGTGTATGCGGATACGACACTCCCTTCCCCCATATTTATGATCCATTCTACAAGTTCAACATTGTTATTCATCTTCATTTTCAGAATGAATGTTTCCTTAACCTTGAAGCCCCTATACAACGTGTATGTGGATACGACACTCCCTTCCCCCATATTTATGAGCCTTTCTACAAGTTCAACATTGTTATTCATCTTCATTTTCAGAATGAATGTTTCCTTAACCTTGAAGCCCCTATACAACGTGTATGTGGATACGACACTCCCTTCCCCCATATTTATGAGCCATTCTACATGCCAGACAAATGGAGGTGCTTCGACGCAGTGAAGAAAGTGATGAATTATTAAATATTACAAATCAAGAAAGGTGAGTTTGTTTCACAGAAAACAGTTGTTTATCAACAATTTTTGTTAAGGTGGTTAGCTAGATCTGATACTCTATTTAATAATTGTTGAAAAGGTTAACATGTGCCATAGCAACCTAATTTTCACATGATGTGCCATAGCAACCTCCTTTTCATACAATGTACCATAGCAACCTAATTTTCACACAATGTTCCATAGCAACCTAATTTTCACACAAATGACACATGACTTAGTTTGTCAACTTACTTGACAATAATCAATTTCTTGGTTGATCAATTGAAATACTCCTTAACAATGAAGCAAATCACTTTCTATTCCTCTTTATTGAATTGAATTGAATTGAATATTCATCAGCTGTGAGGGAGGTTGCACTAGGATTAAATTGATTGAAAAAATGAGAAACGTATTCTACTACTTGCGTGATAATTGAATTTTTTCATTTTTCAAAGCAATTGGCGATTACGGTTAATTTTTTAAAAACACTCAATTACATGCATAATTAGGTTTTAATCTTTAAAAAGAGGAGGTGAGGTATTACTGTCAGCTTAACAGTTTGTTGGTAAGCCACAATGTTTCAAGATAAACCTCTGTTGATAATGTATTGATTTGCAATTTTAGTGATATTACTAGGTACAGTAGAAATTTTGTAAATGAAATGCTTTTGGTGCCACAAAAAGTGCTCCACTTGTGAGGTGTTTCACTTACAGAGGTTCATTAACTTGGAGTCAACGGGCCATAAGACTTTAAAAATCCCTTCCACGTGTGAGGTGTTCCACTTACAAAGGTTCATTAACTTGGAGTCAAAGGGCCATAAGACTTTAAAAATCTGTTCCACTTGTGAGCTGTTCCACTTACAGAGGTTCATTAACTTGGAGTCAAAGGCCACCCGACTTAAAATATCTGTTCCACTTGTGAGGTGTTCCACTAACAGAGGTAAAAGAGCCACAGGACTTTAAAAATCTGTTTCACTTGTGAGCTGTTCCACTTCCAGAGGTTCATTAATTTGGAGTCAAAGGGCCACGGGACTTTAAACATCTGTTCCACTTTGGTGGTGTTCCACTTACAGAGGTGTTTCACTTAGCAGTTTCTACTATTGTATTGTATTGTATATTTATTTACCTCTAATTAATAGAGAGTTACAATAGTTTAAATACATTAAAGTGTAATATAAATGCAACTACTGTATATTGAAACCTCCAGCTGCAGTAGTTTTGGGCATGCTGGGTTGATTACAAACTGGCAATTGCAATTTTAGAATTTTCAGTTACAATAGGATTCAAAGCAATTATTTTTCTTGAATAATAAATATTATGAGTAGATAAAGTTGTAAATAATTGTAGTTGTAATAATTCTATTTACTCCGATAATAATTGTGAATAAAAACTGTCACAAATGGAATTTCAGTCAAGTTTGTTAAAATTGGCTTTCTGTTATCATCAAAGTTTATTATTAACGGTAATTAAAACATAGTTAAAGAAAAATATAATTCTCATGAATATGGTGGCATTAACTGACATTTACTGACATCTTACTGACATCACTAAAGGTTGCACTTGACTGGATACAAACCAAGATTTTATAGTCTAATGTCAATGCCCTTAGATACTGTCAATAGATGGCGAAGAATTCATTGGGTTTAATTATACAAGGGTCGATCCAGATATTCTGATAAAAATGCTCTCATTTCTTTATTTTTGGAAGTTATTACTTGTAATTTGGACAGACAAAAGATAATTTGTATACTTTAACATGTAAAAATTACCTAGAATTCTCCAAAGATATATTTCAATGAAATGAGGCAAAGCCTCGTTTGGTTGAATAAATGAGGAATAACAAGATAGAGAACCTTGTACCCAGTAGAAAAAGGGGAGCAAACACTTTATTTTTTAAGTCCAGTTCATTGTTCTCCAAATTGTGCAGGGACTGCTAAACAAAAAATTGATTTGCCAGAGCCTTATGGAGTTATGAGTCCTTTAGCCATCTTTAACTAACTGTCAGACTGGGTCAGCATACTTATGCCTTGGTCACATATGCTCCGATCCATCGGCCGGCGCCCGGCCAATTGAGTGTTTTATTCAATATTGTATTCAATTTTGAACAAAATACTCAATCGGCCAGGCGCCGTAGTGAAAATTGGAGCAAATGTGACCAAGGCATTACTGCGTTGTGTTCGGGCTTGACGTTGACCTCAATGCATTTTCTAGTGGCTGTACAGTCGAAGCCACGCAGTAAGGATGCAGCATCAGTCTGACGGACCCTTACTTATTGTGAGAATGGCAATCCTGAGGCTTATTGACACCTTGACTTATTATTTTTACCCTGAGAATCACCACTAAGCAGTTCAATACTACACTCTGAGTACATCGAATGATTTAAGGAGTTTGATACAGAAAATATACTCACCAGGCCTCAACTGTTGCTTTTTGGCTTTTTGATGTATACTGTATGTAGATATAATTATTATTATTGCAGTATTGTTCCTTATTTAAAAGAAGTTATTTTACTAACTCAAAATCTTCTATATTTTAAGAGTATAGATTAATCCCTTCAACATTTGCAAAGGGTAGCACTGTTATTGAAAGCAACAATATTAAAGATGTCATATGACGTAAATGATGTCAAGTTGGCAGTTCGTTGAACTTGTACTTGGAGATTATCCGATGACATATTGACAGCCTGTCATTCAACTAATTGTGGTCTAGCGAAAGCAGAGATGAAATAAGTCCAGACTTCTTTATTGGCTTACAACAAGCGAGCTATCTCCGACTTGTCCATCCTTCGTTCTGTCCTTACTTTGTGTGTCCTTTCCTTCGATCATTAACATTTTTTTTCATTTAAAAGTTTATTGCAATGATTCAAAACTGGTTTGCAAATGAGAAGATTTAACATTGATCGGTTGAGTAAATGCTTCTGAGTAGTCCAGTAGACTCAACCAAACATGCATATTACATTTCAACTAATGTTTTGAAGAAAAGAAAAATACATTTGAAATTTAATTTTTAGACACTTAGCATTTCACTGTCTCAAAGTCGATCATTAACATGAAAACTTTAATTCATGATTAAGTCAGTGCCCATATGCATTTTTTTATGAGTTACATATGATTAGTTTCAACTTCTTATTGTGTCTTCTTTCTGACAAATCAGCATTAAACACCATAAATACTCACCGTCCAAAATGTTCTATTTATTGGGTCAAAAAATGGCCATTCATTCCCCTGCAGCTAACAAATGTTGAACATAAGCTGCTATGGCGATTTCAGAGGTGTATCAGTCATCTGTGAAATAGTCATCAATTCTTGTAATTAGTACTATTTTATGTCTGGATTCTGGATGACCTCGTTTCTCACAATATGTCACATATCGTACGTACATGTACATGTATCTACAAAAGTCATTGACATCTACAGTTATAGTGTACCACTAAATAGAATGTCTATGGTACCTAAAAATACTGTTCTATTTTCTCATATTGTTTTGAATCAATGGTTAACTAAATAGAATATCCATGGTACCTCAAGATAGTTTTCTGAAATCGTTTTGAATTAATGGTTTACTAGTTGTTGCAGTGTTCTAATTTTGAGGTGTTCCACTATGAAGGCGTTACATTTTGGAGGTATTCTATTGGAAGTGTTTCCATTTGGAGGTATTCCACTTTCCAAATGAAATGTCCCACTTACAACGGTGTTCCACTTTGGAGGTGTTGCACTATGGAGGTGTTCCACTTTGGAGGTGTTCCACTTTGGAGGTGTTCCACTTTGGAGGTGTTCCACTTTTGTGGGATTTTACTTCCAAGGTGTTCCACTTTGGAGGTGTTCCACTTTGGAGGTGTTCCACTTTGGAGGTGTTCCACTATGGAGGTGTTCCACTTTGGAGGTGTTCCACTTTTGTGGGATTTTACTTCCAAGGTGTTCCACTTTGGAGGTGTTCCACTTTTGTGGGATTTTACTTCCAAGGTGTTCCACTTTTGAGGTGTTCCACTTTGGAGGTGTTCCACTATGGAGGTATTCCACTTTGGAGGTGTTCCACTTTGGAGGTGTTCCACTTTTGTGGGATTTTACTTCCAAGGTGTTCCACTTTGGAGGTGTTCCACTTTGGAGGTGTTCCACTTTTGTGGGATTTTACTTCCAAGGTGTTCTACTTTGGTGGGGTTCCACTATGGAGGTCTCTCCACATTTGGTGGTTTTCCACTTGTTTGGTGTTTTGGTGGGACTTCACTTTGGAGTAAGTCCACTTACAGAGGTGTTCCATTTGACAGGTTTTACTGCTCGTTTATTACTATGAACTTAATTGTTAGAATATAATGTCACTATAATCAAATTCTCAATCTTTTACCATGGCCTAATTAAAAGCATATAATATGACTATTATCAGAATTAGGATCTGGTAATTACCTTTTGAGACTATCATTATATACAATGTCATCTGAATGTGAAACCTTGATATGAATTGATATGGCTTTGCAATTGTCTTTTGAAGTTCACCATTCATTAAAGGTCATTTACCCTGTACTCACAAAGTCACATGGGAATTTTATCAGCATGTGCCAGTTTTACTATTTTGATATCATTCATTCAAAAATTAGAGTGTTATTGTGCTGATGGTAATCACTCTGGTATTTTTTGACATTTTTTTATACTGTTGATTAAGATTTTTGTCTTTTTTTAAATATTGAAATCTAGCTGTAGTTTAATTTTTATGCTTTATTCACTTAATTGTTGACTAATATGTCATTGTTCTGACGTCAGAGTGTTATAAAAGTCATCTATATTTTTCAATTCTGCATTTATAGATGTCACTGTAGTAAAATACTCCATTAATTAAGGGAAAGCTGAACCATTATCAATGTGTGGTAGAGACCATTGCAAAAGTCAGTATGGGATATTTAAATATTTTAAAAGTTAGTGGGTACAAATAAACAGTCTGGGAATATGGATTATTTGTGTCACCCGCTTATTGTTAAATGCATATAGCTTGATAAATAAACAAATAAATGAAAGTACCAATAATATAGATAAACACTTTTTAAAAACATTAAACAATGGAGATGTAATAGTAATAAAATACATGATTAATGCATTTGTACATGATTAATTTAGAATTGTTTCCATCAATCTATTGCTATTTTACAATGCTCATAAATCATATACTCTTTGTCTAGACAAACCCATATATTGTTATCTAGTTTCGACAAATAATACAATTGTATTAAAAATGTAGTTCCAGTTATTGGCACCTTGCAATTAGATATATGTTTAACAATAATAATATTAATATGTTTGATATTACCCCTTGTCCAAATTTTGTCTTTTTACAAAAAAAATACATTATACTTTTTTTTTTTCATTTTGACAATTCTGAAATTAAGTTGGTGGGTGACTGGGTGCAAACCTTCATAAATAGTTACCGTATATATAAAAATATGTTCCGAGAGTAAGAATTAGTATGCAGTGTATTGTTTATTTAAGTGAACAAATACTTATCCAGTAGTGGCCTGAAATATCAAATACTTATCAGTTGTAGAAACTCCCAATTTTGTTTTAGCAACGCCTAAAATTGTTATATTCAAATATTTCATAAAAGTGAGATTGAGAGATGTATGCAAATACCTTTTAACAAAAAAGTCAAAATTTCAAAAAAACTTGAAGAATCTTCTTCAATTGATTGTCATGAATAAAAGAGGGGTGATCAATAAGTAATGGGAGCTTTTTTACACTTGTCACTTGTCACAGCATTCACCTAAATTTTAAAAACAGGCTCATGCACTCACCTGAAAATTCATTTTCACCCACTCGATAATGAGAAAATCATAATTTGACTTGTTCTGATTTGGATTGTGAAAATGAAAATTTTGCACCCATTTGAGAAAATATTGTTGGGAGAATGCTGCTTGTATACACAGATACATTGTTCAGTAAGTTCAATGTATTTTTAAAAAAATTGAATGGAAAACAATATGTATAAACATGTACACAATAATGAGTACTATAATATTTAACACATTTTCTATAAATCACACACTGGCATGTAACAGGTGGCATGCTTCTTGAGCCTATAGCCAAAAAGGAAACGACAAATTAGATAATTATTAATAGTGTGTTAAGAATTATAAATAAAAAATTGCTTATTTGATTTACAATCCTTACAAACTGATTTATTTATCAAAGACTAAATTAAGTAAGGTTAAAATATGAAGTTTACCTATATTCGTTAAAAATAAACACAACATCTAAAAGTGCATTTTTTCATTACCATTTAGATATTGATTGTAGGCTTTATGCGTACTAACAGTTTTCAAAATTATTTTGTCAGATTCCATACCAATTAGCACAGAATTAGAATTATTGATTTACGTGTTTGTTTAATAAAAGTTATTGATTTAAGGGATGGTGTCCAGCTACCAACACTCATGAAAGAATGTAGTAGGTTTTTAAAGGGGGATGGGTGGGGGTTGGGGATGGGTGTAATTGATGATTTCGTCAGCTATGAGTGTTGATTTTTTGTCA